CCTATAGGTCTATGGCTACTGCAGCTCCACCTCTCTGCAGTTTTTATTTTTTATTCTGCAGTGCTCCACTAATCCTGCACTTCACTGAGGCTATGGGTTTGTTAGTGGTTTAGGGGTTTTATGTAAATTTGTAATGAACACATTCTGATACAAACCTCTGGTGCTAATTGGCCTCTATTTATGGATGAAATGTTGATTTCTTAAAAGATTTGATCATCTATTACCACATGTTGTTGTTCCAAACAAGAAAGATGAGTTTTTTTTTGTGTGCAATTTCTGCTGTTAAAGATCAGGCCACGTTACAGATCGGTTCTGCTGAGACTGCATTAACGGATCAGCTGTTTTTGGACTGTACAGGTCTTTACTGTGAGGTCTTGTCGGGTCTGAAGTTCATTGGGAATGTTTACTGAAAGTTTGTCCACCTCATGTTTGGTTGGGGGCGTTCCCCTCCAGCGGCGTTTGGGCCCCTCTCTGTTTGTGTTGCAGTGGGTGGTGCGGGTCCACAGCAGGGCTTTATTCTGAGGGCAGATTTCTGTTAACCTTAATGCAGAGACTGCATTGTCTGCTGTTTGCAGAGAGGTGTCCAAACAATGCAGCTTGTTTTCTCTGACATCGTCCCTTCTTAGCTCAGTTTTCTGTTGAATCTTAGTTGGGGGGTTTTTCAGAATGTTGAACTCAAAATGGTAGAAGAAACTCTTGAGCAAAAACAGTTTTTACTGTACTTTATTGTAGGGTTGGGCAATAAACCATATTTTTACTGTTGCCGTCATTCACTACGATAACTGGTGACAAATTTCTGTTAAATAAGTAAACTTAATTCTGCCATTTTTCCTGTGTGCGCTCGTGGCTGGTATTTCCTTTCCCTTTAAGACACCGTAGCATGTGTGTAATCATATGACTCCACCGATCCAGTCGGAGGCGTAAACAGAATGGCGGATAAACCCAGTTAAAAAGCATCAAACACTGCTGTGAACAAAATAACATCAGTTAATCCTGTGGAGCCCAGAGAGAGCAGAGAAGAGGCAGAGAGCGCGTTGTCAGGGTCGAGCGCACGGCAGACCGGTTCTGAGTGAGGATGTGCGAGTTTAAACGATGCACATTGTTCTCACTGCCACTCAGCACCCAAATTACGCCATAGATGTTGAGCGAAAAAACACGAAATGCAAAGTTTGTCTGAGGCCCCGTCATCACGAAGTCAAACCCTGGCCTAAACGCACAAATTTTTCACCAAACCAGCCTCTCATCCATACGAAGCCGGCGTTTCGGGGGTCTGTAAACGATATTTTTTTTTTTTTATTAAGCCTTAAGAGTGGGAAGATTTTGAAACGCCGTTTTCGCATTTCCATCTTTAAGCTCTAACCGCATTTTTTTTTTTTACACGCATGCGTCATAGCGTCGCCTCTAAACACGCATGCGCGACACAGTATCACAACAACAATGGCGCCGTACTGTGTTGAATGGTTGCTGCTAATGCTACTCACCCTGCTGTCGGGCTTACAACAGAATCTTCTTCTTCTGGAATATCTCCAGGAAGAACAGAGCAATATCAACGACATAGTTCAGCACCTGAATTTGACTGAACCACGAAAATGGACCCGCAGGGCCATTTTCCGGTTTGGTTGTTGTATAAATATTACTGCGCATGCCCAACATTTCGTTGCCTGTTTTCGCCTATTTTTGCTTTGGCACCACAGCGCCACTTACAGGCCTGGCATACATTTTGCAGCGTTTTCATGCATTCGTGTGGACGATCACATTTATTTTACGTCTCCGTCTTTAAGACAAACGTTCTGGAAAATATTAGCGTTTCTTGTTCGTTTTGACTTCATGTGGACGGGGCCTGAAAACTTTCAGGACTACCCAAAGTAACACATCCAACCTCCACCACCTAAAGCAAAACCATGCTGTGGAGTTCAAAGATGTGCAAAAGGCTCAATTTCCTTTGTGCAAAAATGTTTGCAAGAGAGGAAACACTCCTGAATGTGTGCAAGACTTTAATATGTAATTGAAAGTAATATATAATTTATTCAATACATTATTTTTTTTTAAATGATCAGTTTCATTTCCTGCACATGCCTTTATTTCTGAGAGGAGTCGGTGCCATTGTTTATTTATCGTTATCGAGTTAAAACTGCCCAATTTATCGGGATATTGATTTGGGGTAATATTGTGCAGCCCTACTTAATTGTTGACCGTATAAGGTACAGCAATAAGGGTACCTGATGGAATCTGTTTTGGCTCTGGGAAGAGCAAGTTTATGTAGCTTATTTCAGTAGCAAGACAACTTTTGGGCATAACGGCAACTTAAATGGTTGGAGAGAACAAAATGAATAAGCTGGAGTAAGATTAGTATTTTAAAAAATGAGAAATATTTAGATTTAAATCTATTGAGAGTTTCAGTGTTTTGTCTGTCTAGGAGTTTACTCCAGGTTAGTGGATCATAAGAACTAAAAGCTGCTTTTTCCATGTTCAGTTCTGGGTCTCATAGTTGACTTGATCTGTAAGACCAGAGTAGCTGTGGTGGTTGATCCAACGGCAAGACGTCTGTAATGCAACTTGGTCTAAGCTTTTCAGTGATTTATAGACTAACATGATTTTTTCAAAGTCTTTTCTCTGAGATAAAGGGAGCCAGTGTAACCATTTTACAACTTAGTGTCAGTGAGGAGGAAGGCAGCAGCATTAGGAAGACCTAATCCATTGCATAAATCACTACTTCTAATGTTCAATGCATGAATTAGCTTTTAAAGGTCCTGCTGAGACATTATTGTGGAGATGTCCTTTGACTTTGTTACAGTGCATATGTTCTTTTGCAGGTTCAGGTCTAAATCAATCACTATACCTAGATTTCTAGCTGTATTAACTGAAACTGTGTCCTAACTTTACGGCCAACTTTCGCCCCAAAAGCTATTACTTCAGTTCTGTTTTGATTAAGCAGAATAAAAATGTTGAAACGCCCATGCCTTGGATTTCTAAACTCTGTGTCGTCTGCATATATTTGGGACATAAATTAAGATCTGAGTTAGAGGACGCATGTAGATATTGAATAAGAGATGGATCTAAGATAGATCACAACACATGTGATTTCTGTGCCCTTTTATGTAAAGTAACTTAATGAGGCATAAAAGTCTGTGTCGTTCATTTAAAACTAGTCCAGGGCTTTACCAGAAAGACTGACCCAGTTTTAAGCGCTCTAATAAATGGAAGGATCAACAGTGTTGATATCTGCGCTAAGGTTCAATAATACCAGCACTGGGGTTCTTCCACAATCTGCATTTATTCAAGTTTTATTAAAGGCCCTGACAAGTGTGCTGTCTGCACAGTGATGGTTTAGGATCCCTGATTGAAAGACCTGGAAGCGGCTGGTTATTATTTGAAAGCAAAATTTGTTTGGAAAATTGTTGTTAGAGCATGATTTACTAATCAATTAATCGTCAACTTGAGTTCGGAGAGTTAGAAACGTGCCTTTAGTTGAAAAAGCAACCCACTCAAAACACTCACTATACCAAAATGGTAAAAAAATATCCAAACATTTTGTATTTAAAATAAAAAGCCTTTTTTGTCCATTAATATGCTCTATCTAGAGAGCACTTGGTTTAAATTATATGTACAATCTTCTTTAAGAAACATTTGCCATCCGATTATGACGTGGAAAAAAAGAATCAACAGATTATTTATTAAAGAAATAGCCATTAGTTACAACCTTATTTTATAACACACCAAAGTGGTGACAATTGAACATTTTAATCAAAAAGCCTTATCTGAATTATTAAACCAATACTATAAGCACATCAAAATGCATATATTGTTTCAAATCCAAATATCTAGGCTATTCAAGCAATTGATTGGTTTAAAATTGTTTATGATATTTTATTAATTTCTTTAAAAACTTCTATAGATGTCTTAACAGTAGATGACCATTAATTCAATTGCACAATTCCTTGCACTAAAGCAAACAATATTTAGCCTCGTGAGACCATCCTGATCTCGCGAGCTTTCAAGGTTTCACTCGCAGATCAGTCTAGAGACTCTCCTTTAAAGAAAATTTGGAGCCGTTCACCAAACGAACGTCCAATCAGCGTTGGCTTTGAGGCGGGTTGAGGTGTGACGCAACGAGAAGCGCGACAGTTCAGTCTAAAGAACATGGCGGCTTCAGCCGATGAAACTAGCGTTAGCGTGGCTATCGAGCAAGTTTTATCGGAATTACAGAGTATTTCTTCACTGAAAGAAGAGCAAAACACTGCTCTGGAGGCTTTTCTCAGAGGAAAAGATGTTTTTGCTCTTCTCCCGACTGGTTTCAGCAAGAGTAGCCTGGCTTGTGGTTGTGTTTTCATCGTCGCTCTGTTAGTACGTCATATGCTTCGTTGATCTGATTGGTTTATTTGGCCCGTCTATCACCAACATAGGCCAATCAGCTAACCAGTATTTTTGCCCCTTCCCAAAATTACTTCAACGGAAGGTTTCCAGATGGATATACGGAGCAAATCCAATCGGGCGGAGTCAGGTTAAACAATATTGCCTTTAAACAGAAGATAAAGGTGAATTCATCATTACCTTTAGGAGCTTAACAACTTGTTTTCATTGTGGAGGAGTTGCTGCAATTAAAAAGTTTAGGCCACTGCGGCTACTGTGATTCGTTAAGCCAGTTATTCAAGATTCTTATTTTATGCCCGCAGATTCACGTCTGCTGCAGCTTATCTGTCCATACTAATGTAAGGTACTTGGTTCCAGCAGTATTTAATAGAAATTATCATGTTGAATTCATGACTCTTATGTTTCCACAGGTTTATTATAGTGGGTTTTCTGTAGATGATATACCAAATGTGTTATTTATGGGCTTGTGTGTTTAAGCTTATATATCCAATCTCTCGATGCATGCATTGCCTATCTCATGAAGCTAATGATGAAGTAGGTTCTGAGTGGTTGATCTTTACACACTGCAGTTCTAAAGAATTGCAACCTTCTGATTACTGAGTCCTAACGGTCTGGCTTCTCTTTTTCAGTGCTCTGTGCATGTTTCCTCCTGAGCCCGACATGCCGATGGACATCACCATACCCCTCTACCTGTCAAAGGAGGAGTTCGTCTTCACCACCACCTCTGCAGTGCAGAAGTCTGTCCGCAGCTCCTGCCTGAGGTTCCAGCACTCAAACTGCGTCAACAAAACTGAGCCTGAAGATGGCGCTGTCACCACTAAAGAGAAGAAGAAAAAGAAACGCGTCACGTTCGCCGACCACAAAGGTCTGTCCCTCACCAAGGTGAAGGTCTTCTCCAAGTTCACGGACCCCATTGAAATCCCTGTGAACATCCAGGAGATGTTGAGCTCCAAGCTCACCCTGTCATCCACTGAGGAGGACAAACTGGTGCTGGACTTCACTCAGCCCTCCTCAGACTACCTTCTGTTCCGCCAGAACCTGGAACAGAACCTGGTGAGTCTGGAGCACTGCGTGCTGAAAGAGAAGGCCTTTGCTGGAACCGTCAAAGTAAAAAACCTCTCGTTCGAAAAGTCTGTGCTTCTCCGGGTGACCTTTGACTCGTGGAAAAGCCACACCGATGTCGGCTGCGAATACGTGAAGGACACGTACCCCACCTCATACAGCGACACCTTCTCCTTCGAGGTGTCTCTGCCTGCGGAGATGCGGCCGAACGAGCGGGTCGAATTTGCCGTGTGTTACAAAGTGAACGGGAAAGAGCACTGGGACAGCAACCAGGGTAAGAACTACCACATCGTCTGGTCCTACATGAAGAAAAACCGCCACTCTGAATCGTCGCACTTTGGGATGCACTTCGACCGCTACGGCAGCCCAACCTGTTCACACGGGCTCTTCCCCGATTGGCCGAGTTACGCCGGCTACGAGAACATCGGCCCGTACTACTGAACATCTGTCACCGTTTTTAAATTGCACGTTGTCAGTGATGACTTGCCTGTTTTAAAATTGTTTCTGTGATGTTGGGTTGCATGTGAAGTCGGTTTCGTAGTTGATGTTGGATCAAACTACAGACCCGAGGCAGACCGTGACCCGGGCCGGGTGTTCTTTACCTCATCATTCCAGATCAGATTTTAAACTTTGCCTCGTCACAAGAACTGTAACCAACCGACCAAACCTCCACAAATAACGATTTCAAGTTCTCAGGTTTTAGCTTTCAATGTGATCCGAACAAACTGAAGCTGCTAACAGGAAATCCAGTTTTTTTTTTTCTTTTTTAACTACACCTGTTGAAATCTATTTTCACCAAGTCACAGATCACCTGTGGTGTCCTGCTGCCTCGTTTCCCAGAAGGGACTGTTTTCTTTTTTTTTGTTTTTTTAAGCAAGGCGACTTTTATTCTCAGAATTTTTTAGGTTTAGGAAGATTTTTTGTTGGGCAGCAGAAAGGGAGCAGTAGAAGCTGAACAACATTCCTCATCAGTTGTTTCACTGCAGGAAGTCTGTGAAACAATCTAAAAAAATATCCAAGTTTCTGGTCTAACAAACCCAGATCAGAATGAATTCACTTTTTTTAACCTGGGATAGTTTATGAACACAGAATGAAACCATCACAGGTCATTACCAGCAATCGATGCACCACAGATTTCCTCGAGCTTTAATAGTTTTGTTGCAGAGCAGATTGTTCAAGTGTTTTTTTTGTTTTGTTTTTTTTGGCTTCTGAGGTTACTTTGACTGTTTGAAAAAGGTTGCTGGGGGACGGCCTGTAAAGTTTAGTAATGTGACATTTAAAGTTCTGTGATTGAACCTGTTGGCAGCCGAAATGAACGGAAAGTCCTACCTTACGCCGATGGTCGGTTTCCTTAATGGTAACCCTGAGAAGCTGCTTTATTTCACCTTAATCTGTGCAGTTATTGTGAAAGCAATCAGAAAATAAGAAGCTGAACACTTTTCCTTGAAAGTTGACTGCGAGGAGTTTGAAGTCAAGACTATCAGCTGCTCGTCTGCTCGATCGTTTAGTTTTATAGAAGTTCTCAGAACAACAGTTTCACAGCTACGCATGAATTTGCACATCAGGATGAGGATTGTGTTGACCTATGGTTTTAAAAGGGGAATGAGGGAAGTTGAGGCTGTAATCTTTTCAACCTGAGTGACTGCAGAAGTTTGACACAAACTAATCTTCCTCAACTTTCAGAGAATCTGTCTGCGCACAATACCACAAAAACAAATAAGCTATATGTCATTTAGTTGTTCGATGAGTGATTTATGTGTGGGGTTTTTTTTGGGGTGTTGGCACTGAGTTTGTTTTTAAAATGTCTGCGTGTGTGTGCCAGAGCTCGGCCTCGAGGCCCGGGCTCTCAGACTGAATGATTCGGTAGTGAAAGGTGGTTTTTAGTTTTAAAAAGTTAATAAAGTTCTGCCATGTTTTACTCAAAGATGAAATTCTGTCTGTGACAACAATCTGCTGTCATCAAAATGATTTAAGGAACAATAAAAAGTATATTTTTATCCTGATTTGTTGGTTGGGTCTTCTTTCAGAGAAAAGCTGTTTATTTACATTATTAAGATGATATTTATGGATTTAGTGGCAGAGAATTGGACACCAGAAAACTAGATTATAGCTCATGAATCTAGTTTAACATTGGAACTCCAGTCAGGCTCATGCCCCCCCGATCTCTGACAGTTATTCCCATAATAATGGGATGCATGTTGCAAAATATCCAAACTCTGAATAACATGAAAAGGTGTTGGAAGTTTTTACATCCTAATAATAATGAATTTTATTTGTAACGCACTTTACATTTGACTTAAAATCTCAGTGCTACATTTAAAAAAAAAAGAAAAGAAAAAAGAAGGGAAAATAAAAACAATGTTAAAAAAACCACAACATTAAAAACAGAGAAAAAGACAACCGTTAAAATCAGTACATTCAAAGGCATATGTAGCCTATAAAAAAAAAAAAATCTAAAATACTGAGTAAATATAAGATAAAAAGACAGAAGATAATGACAAACTGCAGAATTTAACTTTCTGACCCACAGCAGGGCTGTAGGCGGAGTAGATGACCTCCATCGAGGAGGAAACGTTTCATTAACCCAGAGCTCTGGTCTGTAGAAAGAATGCCGTTTGACTGGGTGAAATGATCTGGTTGCTCCTGCAAAGAAATGCATGACGTCCCATTAGAATCATTTTGACATGTTGAAATGATTAATTCTGACCAACTGAGGACTGCAGGATGTGGCTGTGGTTGTCGAGCAATCACACCCAAAAAAAAAAAAAAAAAATTGGAGGACAGGTGTTTTTCATCACTGCTGAAATAATTTTCCTTTTATTTCCATGTGAACAACACAGCAAATCTGACAGCATCTCTGCACCTATTCCACTAAAAAACACTTATTTTTTAATCCGGTTGATGAAAATATCCCCAACTGATGACAATCATGTAGAATTACTGCAGAATGTTAAACAGATCTTCTAGTAATTGGTGCGATGAGGCTGTTTAAATGTTCAGGGTTTTGTAGAGAAATTTGGACACTTGAATGTTCTTATTTCCACGTTTCCCTGTTTGTCTGGCCTGTGAGTGATTCACAGATGTCTGTGTTCCTCAACTTTAGAAGAGTAGAAGCAGAGCATCGGATTCCTTTGTGAATGGGATTCTTCTTATGATCTGAAACTAAAACGTATTATTTTGAAGAGGTCTGAAATGTAATTCCACTAATGGCAGCTAGATGGTGCTCTGCGACTCCAGAAGACTCATTGGAAAAGTGTTAAACAATGGCTCTGTTCGAAAACCTAGGACGTGTCCTCCAAGGACGCGGTCTACCTAGACTGGATCTTTCGAAGTCCTTGAAAATGAGGAGACCGGAAGAGTTTAGGCTGTGAATTCGACCAGGTCTACCCTTCGGCGGGTTTTACCGCCGTATGCTCTGTTGCTTAGCAACCGTGAACGTTGACACACAAAGCAGGAAAAGAATGATTACAGAAGTTTTCAAAACTGTTTATTTCTTTTTTATTGTGAAGTGAACAAAGACTACACTCACAAGAATCCAGAGTGGAATAAAGGTTCCAACAGCCGGGAGCAGGAACAAATCAAATCAAATGTAGGCTAATGATAGAAACCTTAGTCAGTTAAATAACCTGCTGCTGTCATTCTGCACATCTCTGATGTTGCTGCTATTTTCGAATATCCATTACTGTAAAAATGTCCATAGCTGCATATTGGTTATTTATTCCCCAGTTTTATATTGTTAAAACACTTTACAGTATTTTATTGTTTATATTTTAACTCTTCCCTATTATGTTATTCTTATACATTTTTCTAAGATCCACATTTGTGTGACCATTTTTAATAATCTTTCTGCTGCTGTAAATTTGCCCATTGTGGGACAATAAAGGGATTTTCTATTCTATAAAAGGGGTAGAAAGATATAAGTAAATCTAAACAATGTATTTATAAAAAAAATATATCTGCAAAATCTCTAAAATTCAACAACAAAAAATACGTAGTTAAGCATATTGTGCAAAACAGCAATAAAAAGATAAAAATCCTATCAGATTTATAGTCCCCACCCTGCAGATATATTAGAATCTGTCCTTTAATTCCAGCCAAACCCATTTATACAGTACCAGATAAAAACCTTTAGATAAATCAAACATTACCGCCACATATCTGACTCAATAACCATTAAAACAACTATTTTTCATTAATCTCAGACAGAACTATTCACATACTTGTATTATATTAAACTGAACTTCCAATTTTCACCACTGTTCGGCGCCAAGTAACCTTTACTGGGCAAAAAGAAGGACGCATTTTAAGGCCGCATAACGAGGACTCTTGGAATCTGACCAGACCTCGGCGCCGCGCTATGACTTAATCGGCCTTCGAATCCGGTCTTCTAAGGATGCGTCCTAGGTTTTCGAACAGAGCCAATGGCTCTGAATCCTTCCAAGTCCTTGAAAATAAGGAGACCGGAAGTGTTTTGGCTGTGAATTCAAACAGGTCTGTCCTTCGGCGGGTAGGCTATGTTGCTTAGCAACCGAGATAGTTGACACTCAAAGTGGGAAAAGAATGAATACAGAAGTTTTCAAAACTGTTTATTTTTTATTGAGTGGAATAAAGGGTCCAACCACCGGGAGCATGAACAAATAAAATCAAATGTAATGATAGAAACTTTAGTCAGTTAAATAACCTGCTGCTGTCATTCTGCACATCTCTGATGTTGCTATTTTCAAATATCCATTACTGTTAAAATGTCCATAGCTGCATATTGATTATTTATTCTCCAGGTTTACAGCTTTATATTGTTAAAACACTTTACAGTATTTTATTGTTTATATGTTATTCTTATACATTTTTCTAAGGTCCACATTTGTGTGATCGTTTTCAATCTTTCTGCTGCTGTAAATTTGCCCATTGTGGAACAATAAAGGGATTTTTTATTCTATTCTATAAAAGGGGTAGAAAGATTTAAGTAAATCTAAACAATGTATGTATAAAAATATATCTGCAAAATCTCTAATATTCAACAAAAAAAATTTCTTGGTTAAGCATATTGTGCAAAATAGCAATGAAAAATAAAAATCCTATCAGGTTTATAGTCCCCACACTGCAGATATATTAGAATCTGTCCTTAAATTACAGCCAAACTCATTTAATCAGTAACAGATAAAAACCTTTAGATAAAACAAACATTACCGCCACATATCTGACTCAATAACCATTAAAACAACTATTTTCATTAATTTTCGATGGAACTATTCACTGACTGGATTATATTAAGCTGAACTTCCAATTTTCACCAATGTTTGGCACCAAGTCTTGCAATGAATCCTGGGAAAACCAAGGATACTGAGGATACATCGGACCCGTCCTTCGAATCGGGCAAAAAGAAGGACGCATTTTAAGGCCGCATAATGAGGAGTCTTGGAATCCAACCAGACCTCGGCGCTGCACTATGACGTAATCGTCTTTGGAATCTGGCCTTCTAAGGACACAGCCCATGAATTCGAACAGGGCCATGTTTTTATATCATGATTTTTGAAAAAGTTCTTTTTAATTAGTTTTTCCCCTTTATATATATTTTTTAATCTAGTTATGTTCACTACCCTAGCAACTTCTGTCTCTAATGACTGACTGATCTTTGTGCTCTTTCTCTTTCAGCTCATAAAAATTGTTTTAAAGAAAAAATATCTTATTTTATTGCATCTAAACCACAAAACTGACAGAAATATTATCAAAGTCTCATAGATCAGTTGCATTTAATTCAGAAAATATTAGGAACTGAAATGTTAAAGATTTTTTGTTTGTTTTTTGTTTTTATGAGAAACACTTTCAGATATCAGAATTGCAGGTTTAACTTTCTGTTTTCAAACAGATTTGTTCCTGATCTGAAGGAGTCTATAGTCTCAGTCTATCTTTTTCCTTCAATGAGAAAGTTTTCAGTAAGTGTAAACTAAAACACAAAGAAGAAGCAGGTATGACAAAATGTTATGTTTTATATAAATATATAGACAAGTTTTTAGTAAAGATTTTGCCAAAACCAGTTTTACTTTGAGGATAAATCACCTTTCTTGCAGATTAACATCTGGCTTTAGATAAAATACAGATGATCCCTTATCTAAAATAAAGGATGGTCTGTATTTTACACCTCAGGCAGAATTGACAGATTTACTGACATTTACTGTGACATGTTATTGTAGCATCCCTTTAGTTTCTGCTTCTGTTCCTGTGATGGACATATATGAGTTCAGCATCACATCTTCCCACATTAACTGGAATCTCATGCAGCACTGCCACCTGGTGTCTATAGGAAGGGATGCTTCACAAAGGTAAAAAAATAAAATAAAAATTGGATAAGATATATTTAATGTATTTGATACTTAAAATGTTGAACAACTACAATTTTTGTTTAGATCTCTTAAATACACAAACGATGGTTAAAAATAATATATTAATGCTAGCATGGTACAGAACGCTAATGTCATGGTCATATCTGTGAGTCAAAGTGATAATAGCTGTCCATTTTAACAGAGCAGGTATGAAATATGGGGCAATAGAGCAGGCTTTTGAAAATATTTAGAAAACTACATTACAAACTAAAACTGAGACAAAATCTTACTAAACTATAATTTAAAATTTCCCAGTCAAAAATCTACCCAAAGTACTGAAATAATCACTTAAAATACTTAAGTATTCGAAAGTACAAATTAAATTTTTAATATCCGTAACTTTCATATATATATATATATATATATATATATATATATATATATACATATATATATATATATATATATATATATATATATATATATATATATACATATATATATATATATATATATGTATATGTATATATATACATATACATATATATATATATATATATATATACATATACATATATATATATATATATATACATATACATATATATATATATATATATATATATATATACATATACATATATATATATATATATATATATATATATATATATATGTATATATATATATATATATATATATATATATATATATATATATATATATATATATATATATATATATACAACTTTAAATATCTTTTTAAATTTTTTGTTGCATTATTGTTCCTTATTTCTCTCAGATACCCCTTGAAACTAGTTCATTTTTGAGAGCAGGTAAAAAGGCAGTTATTTAACAAATCAATAGTTATGTATGTAGTATTTTACTGATATAATTATATCATTGCCCATTAATTCCAAATCATTAATTTTGAGGAATAAGCTGAACTGGAAAATGACCAAAAAAAATAAATAACACTGGCTGGACCTGGCTGGCGTCAGCTTCGGAGCTCCGCTGGTTGCCACGGTCCTCTCAAGTTCGTCACATTTTCTTTTAAATTACGCATTAAATCTGTGAATGGGCCATATGGTGATGCTTAAAAGTATAATATTCTCGCCTCAAATTATCTTAAAACGTACTTTTATTGAACAACAGCAACAGAAAAGAGAACATTTAACTTAGTACTCTGAGCTCTGTGAGTTAAGAAGATGGACAGCCAAGCCAACCAATGAGCAGAAGTTGACTCTCTAGGACACACCCCCTCCTCATTTGCATAATGAGGCAGAAATGCATAGAGAAATGTAAAAAGGGCAGAGAGAAGTAAACAGCGGCGAAGAAATAACTAAGGTAAAAAAATACAATGGAAGAATAAAACAGACAAAAATATTATAACATGCACATAAATAAACACTTAAAAATATAAGTAATTAAAAAATAAAGTTGAAGATTATAAAGGACAGAAAAATAAATAAGGTAAATATTACAAAGGCAAATAAATAAAGAAGCTAATTAAGAGTTATATACATTTATGTCTCACTTTTTTGTTGGCAATTAATTGTATGCTTATACATTTATTGAGCATTTATTTATTTCTGTATTTATTTTTAAATATGGCAGAGTTGGTCCTTCATAGTTTAAAGTAACTGATCATAATCAAAAATGTCTGATTTTTAATTAGTGACCCCTGGTCTAGTTCTTACCTGATGTAACAGAATTTGTGGTCACCTGATTTCATATAAAGTCTGACATTTCTTATCACTGCTGAATGAAAGTGAAATAAAAGAAGAGGGCAGACTTCTTTGCCAGAAAAAAAGGGATGGGTCCAGTTTATGCCTGATAAAAAAAAAAAAAGATAAAAGAACATGTGTGAATAGTCACATGATTTCATGGAAACTCTTCACTCGCACAGCGCTCGTTTAAAGCCTATTGTGGCCATTTTCTTGCTGCACATTTAAAGGTCATGTGCAAACTCACAAATTGCTAAAATTTCTACAGTCATTCTGGCCACAAAGGAGGCATCAGAACAATGACAGCAGAGGATGGAGAGAGAACGTGTGCGCATGTGAACATATTTGGAATAAAGGAGTAGAATTAGCATTAATAAGGAAAAAGTCGTGTTTGTGGGACGGATGTTTTAAATATTTAACCAAATCAAGAAAGACAATCACTGAATTTAACTATGGTTGCATGCTTATATACTACAAAAACTTTATATTAACAGTCAACAGAAAACAACCATTGTGGAGCCTGTGTAGGCTGTAGAGATATTCTGCCCCATACCCATTAACACAGTAAAGCTCTACTACTGTATACTGCCCTGCGATGGACTGGCGACCTGTCCAGAGTGGGTCCCGCCTCTCACCCGTAGACAGCACCCCTTACGACCCCACTCGGGATAAGCATGACTGAAAATGGATGGATGGATGGAAGTTCTACCATACAATATGCTTACATTTTTATATCCCTTATATGTTATTTTTATCAGATCATGGGGATCTAGCATAAAACTCTGGCTAATCAATTGTACAGCGTAATAGAAGATAGGGGCCATTCAGAATTAGCTTCTACTCTTGATAAATTCACAGCCTGACCCAAGTATATACATATACCAGGCTGCAGTATGCATTATCTACTTGAATAATGGAAACCATTAGGTTGCAGGTTTTCTTTTACAATCTGTTTAAGAACCTTTCTCCACTTGTTACCCTGCTAATTACCCACAAGCTGGTTTTGAGAACAGCAGCCATTTAGTTAACCTGACTCCGCCAGATGGATTTGCTCCGCATATCCATCTGGAAACCTTCCGTTGAAGTAATTTTGGGAAGGGGCAAAAATACTGGTTAGTTGATTGGCCTATGTTGGTGATAGACGGGCCAAATAAACCAATCAGATCAACAAAGCATATGACGTACTAACAGAGCGACCACGAAAACACAACCACAAGCCAGGCTACTCTTGCCGAAACCAGTCCGGAGAACAGCAAAAACATCTTTTCCTCTGAGAAAAGCCTCCAGAGCAGTGTTTTGCTCTTCTTTCAGTGAAGAAATACTCTGTAATTCCGATAAAACTTGCTGGATAGCCACGCTAACGCTAGTTTCATCGGCTGAAGCCGCCATGTTCTTTAGACTGAACTGTCGCGCTTCTCGTTGCGTCACACCACAACCCGCCTCAAAGCCAACGCTGATTGGACGTTCGTTTGGTGAACGGCTCCAAATTTTCTTTAACAGAGAGTCTCCAGACTGATCTGCGAGTGAAACCTTGAAAGCTCGCAAGATCAGGATGGTCTCACAAGGCTACCATTTAGTTCCTGTTTCTAAAAATATCATTTAGCTTTTTTTCTGGAATCTGTTGCCCAGTCTTATCCATTAAAACATTTGATTTGTTTATAGAAAACATTTTCAAAGATAGTGTTAAATAGGGAAATCTCATCCATCAATAAGACTTTTTGCACTGCAATTAGGAAATCAGTTAGTAAGAGACCAAATGTGAGTTATTTGAAGATATTTTAACTTCAAAATATCAATCTTAACAAAAAGTCTAGCTGCAGACTGGCTATATAAATTGAAATCTTATACTTTCCATTGCTGAATGTCAAAATAATAATTATTTTCTGTGGTTCAGGCACTTACAGAAAGCAAAGATTTCAACAGACTACAAAGACATCATATCAGCAAGTGAACGTCTTCAGCCAGGTCCTCCTGCTGTCTACCAGCTTAAATCAGAGGCACAACTTATTGGAACTCTCAAAAGAATGACAATTGGAAAAAGAAATCCCCGGAAAGTAAATAAAACAATCTTACTTGTTGGTGAAACAGGAACAGGAAAATCTACTTTGATCAATACTCTGGTAAATTGTGCCATGGGGGTGAAGTTTGAGGATGATGTATGGTTTCAGATTGTGGAAGAAGAAGACAGAAGTGAGGCAGAAAGTCAGACATCAGATGTGATCGTGTACCAGATCTTTGGTTACGAAGGTAAAACTTTGCCTTTCTCTCTGACCATCATTGATACTCCAGGATATGGAGACACCATAGGGCTGGAAAATGACGTCATTGTCCGTCAAAGATTGTTTGATTAATTTCGGTTGAAAGATGGAGTAGAAGAAATCAACATGGTTGGTCTGGTAGTGAAGGCGAGTGTGAATCGAGTCAGTTCTCGTTTGAGATACATCTTTGATTCAGTGATGTCTCTGTTTGGAAAAGACCTGGAAAAGAGCATTGTAGCTCTGATGACTTTCTCAGATGCGAGGTCACCTAGAGATGCTCTACAGGCTCTTGAGGCAGCAGATATTAAATGTGCCAAAAATGAGAAAGGGCAACCTCTTCACTTCCTGTTCAATAACTGTCAGGCGGAGACAAGAGATGAAGAAGAAGATTCCATAGAATATGCATGGCGGCAAACAGCAAAAGGATTGGAAAAGTTTGTCAACTTCCTGGTAAAAACTGGAACCAAAAAGCTGAAAACAAGCAAAGAGGTTCTCAATTTCCAAATTTGCCTAACAGCCTCCATCCACAACCTGCAAGAGCGAATCAAATCTGCTGAAGAGATGAAGGAAGCGATTATTTAAAAAAAAAGAGGATGCTGGAAAGGAACGAAAAAGACCTGAATAATGCTAAACATTTACCATAGATGTAACAGCATAACAAGGTGCTGGAATCCTACAGTGCACCGCGGTCGTGAGGATATGATGGTGTCACTTGTTGCAAAGTCTGCACGGAAAACTGCCATTATCCAGGATGCACTGTGGCTTGGAGTGCAAGCTTGTGTAAGATCATGAGAAATGTCCACTGCACAGTTTGAAAAGGAAGATGCCATGTGGACAATCACATGAAGACAGACAGAGGTATGTGGATAAGACCAGAATAGTGAACAAGGCTTTAGATCAGAGGTCACCGATTAGCAGACCGCGGTCCGGATCCAGACTCACCTGCTGGCTGATTTAAAACATTTATAAATTACCTCATGTTGTCATGGCAGTATCTAATTTCACTTGCCCCACTTCTCTTGTTTGTACGGTAAGGCCCTCCGGCTCCAGGCTGCACGTGATCAGAATTAGCCAATGAGCTGTCAGTCTGGGTTGCTGCTGCTGCTACTTTTAGACACAGCAGGCAAAGGTCTGTTCAGCGGTTTTATAAAATAGGTGAATCAGGAAATTGTCTATTTACAAAAATGAATGATTGTTGTTCTCTACAACAAAAAACTAAGGAAGAGGATTAGAGCCACTGAAAAAAAAAAAAGTTAACTGATTTTTAAATTTTATTTCTGATTAACATGAATTCTGACTTTGATCTCAGAATTCTGACTAAATTCTGATAATAAAAAAAGTCAGAATTCTGAGAAAAAAGTCAGAATTCTGTTTTTTTTCTCAGAATTCTGACTTTTTTCCCATACTAAACTGAAATAAAATTTAAAAATCAGTTAACTTTTTTTTTATTTTTTTTCCACTGGCCCTTATCCTCTTCCGTAAAAAACACTTTAGATTTTAAAATGTTCTTTTTTTATACATTTTTTTATTTAAAAAGTGAATGTATGACATGGATGCATAAACACCTGATTTTATTTCAGTTTTAAATTCTGTTTAAAGTGACAGATTATAATTTAAAATGTCTCTGGACCTTTACTGGTTGTTGATTATCTTTATTCGGATCCTGCTGATTTTTAATTGGTTACTCCTGGTGTGGGTCCAGTTAATACCTGGTGTAGAAAATTGCATAACTTGTGTAGTCACAATGAAAGTGAAATAAAAAGATGAGATAAAGTGCCTTGCTACAAAAAAGGGAGGGGTCCAGTTCATTGCTTATAGAAAAAAATAAAAGAACGTGGGTGAATAGTCACGTGATTTCGTGGAAACTCTGAGATTTCTGATCACTGTGTGGTGACAGTTGATTGAAAGATGAGGGGCAGACTGCTGGGCTGTAAAAAAGGTTGGTTCAGTTGATAACAATCTGTGGCATTCCTTGCCAGATGTTTCTTCTTTCTTATCTCTGTATGAAAGTGAAAGGAAAGTTGAACATCAGACTGTTGGGGTATAAAAACATCGGAACCCAGCAGCAGAACCCAGACACTGCTTCCTGCTGCCAGACCAGTAAGTAAACCATCACTTCTACTTTTCCTGCTTAATTACATTGTTGTTGATTTGATGCTTCTTCTTTTAAGGGGGAGTTTGATAGCACTTAGTTTTGTTTGTTTTTTTCATTGCAGATTTTCCCATATTTACTGGTTGATGCGTTGTATTATTTAACGATAAAAATGTATTTTCTTGTCATTTCTCATGATCATTGTAATTGCTTTCATGAAGTTATTTTAGTTTTATGAAAATCTATGGAGTGTGCTTATTTTTGAGGGTAATTCATATGAACCTACCTTCAGGGCCCCACCTGATACTGGTATCAGCATCGGTGCAGCACTAGTATTTAATACTAGCTATACCTGACAAAAGAGCGGCTCACCTGTAAAACTAACAAACAGCATTAATGATAATTGTTAGAGAGCCAGCTTTGGTGATAAAGGGTTTCAGCGTATAATTTTTCCCTTTTTGAAGTAAAAATAAAAAACACCATATATTTTAAACTACATCTATGATTGTAATAAAAACACTATTAATAGTAACTGATGTTCTTCCGGACATGACTCTGTAACTTTTCATTGTTTCAACAGCTTTTTTCCTTTATTCTGCAGAGTACATCTGTATCATCTGAAACAACCACCTGTTGCTATGGCCACGTGAGTCTATATTTCTTGACATTAATTATTTTCCCCCTTTGCTTTGAAAGTATTTTTGACTTTTGAGTAGCTTTCAACCTTTAAATCTGGTACTTTTGATCTAAGAGTCCATATTGGACCTTCAGCTGCATGTGAGCTTTTCTAGAAACATAAACACCCAGGTTTCTGTCATGGGCGTAGGTTTGCATAGCGACCATAGGGACATGTCCCTACCAAACTTTTAGACCGACCTACCTGTCCCTACCAACAATTAGATGTGAATACCATGTTTATAATTTACAATACAGCGTTGTTGCAGCAGTAGAGGAGTTCAGGAATGGGGAATATTGACAGACGAAAACATGTTTTATCTCAAATGGAAAATGTCAGTTCCTCTTCTAGTTCCAGTGCTCATGAAAATACAATACATTTATTTGGCGTCCCTTGAATCTATTATTCTGCTTTGTTTTAATGATACAAAGAGAACATTAAAAGTTAAGAGAGGGTTTTACCTCTGTTTACCTCTGCACAATTCTATATCTTCAAAAAAAGTATAAATCCACATATAGCAGAAATATTTAGACTATATTCTGTTAAATAGTCACAGATTTACCCACTGTCTTAGGTAATTTCAAATGCAAACCTTTTCAAAGTGGAAGAAAGTCCTATTTCCTCATTCATCAGAGCCAGTAAAGCGCCAGTCATTGATAAACAGCACCTAGTGTGTGAAGTGCTTATAAAATGTGTATAAATGTAGTAAGAAATACTGCTTTTCTCTTTAAACGAAATACACCCTGATTTTTACGTCAAGCATAAAAAAACGAGCATGCATATTTTTGCATTGGACCAATGACCAACAGTGTCCCTACCAAAGTTGAAATCAAACCTACGCCCTTGGTTTCTGTGTAGCTGCAACTTATCACTGCACAAGTTCCACAGTTTTTGCAGAAGTTTGTCCCCACCTGTTAGAAATGCTATGCCCTGATATTGGAGTAAGGGAGAAGAAAACATCCGCTGTAACTACATAGGCATTTTGTTTAGAAGCAAAACAAAACTGAACCTTTACCACAGGTGTCAAAACTACACACAATTATTACTTCAGTAGAAGTATTTTTTATTTATTTTTTTTTAATAGGGACAATGCACATTAATGAACATCAGTATAAAAACAAATGTAAATATGCCGGATTATAGCTACAAAGCTAGTTTTCATCCGTAGACCCTAGGCAGGCAGAATAGATACTGCAGTTTAAAAAAACTCTGGTAAAAGTTGAAGTATCAACTTGACCTCTTTACTCAAGTAAAAGTGAAAAAGTATGTTCTCCAAAAACTACTTAAAGTATAAAATAACCTTTAAAAAAAAACAGCCAGATGCCACTATATCAATTGAAAGCTCAATTTTTTGACCATTTCGAAAAGTTCTTTGTGATAGGGCTAAGGATGAGGGAGGTCATATTTATTTTTGATTCTGTTCATGGTGGAGAATCCTGCTTCACAGCAGCAGGTTGAGCCAAAAATCCTCTAAATGTTCAGGCTCCGCTCCGGTCCGGCCAGGTCAAGATCCGCTATGGCAATCGCACCAAACAGGAAAAAGAACGGCAAGAAGATCCGGTTTGTCAAATTAAAATAGAGTAACAAGAGATTGGTAACTACAATTCAGAGAATAATTCTTATATATTTCAAAAAACTAACAACGTTTATTTAAAAGAATGAATGAAAACTATTGGTACTTCAACAGACCAGGAAGCAGATTTCTCATCTGCATGTTGTGCTCCTACGAATTTAATGATAATATTGCGCATGCTCTTGTCGAGTTTCGAGGAAAAGTCGGAGCTCAGCAATACCGGTGGAACAGTGGAGGCTGTAGGCTTTGCTTGGCGCAGTCAGTCTGGAGCACAGCGGGGCGGAGCGGAGGATGTGGGATTTCGCGGTAACAGGAGAAGCGGCGCAAGTGACGTTTAGACACTGTTATCCGACAACATGTGGTAATTTATAAATGTTTTGAATCAGGTCTGGTCTGGATTAGCCAGCAGGTGAGTCCGGATCCGGACCGCAGTCCTCTAATTCATGACCTCTGCATTAAACCGAAGCCGAGAGTAACGAGTAACGTTTGTTTAAAAAATGTAAGGAATAGAAAGTACAGATACTTGTGTGTAAATGTAATAAATACAAGTCAGAAGTAGGAAGAAAAATAAGTAATGGAGTATAGTATAGATACTTAAAAAGTGTACTTAAGTACAGTAACGAAATATTTGTATTTTGTTACTTGACACCTCTGACCTTTATACCTGCACAGCCCTTTTTTTAAATGATCGTGGCCACAGTTTTTGAATCTATATTCATTTGTTCTATCTGTAAGGACATTTGTAAATCAGGTGCAAACGTGCAACCAAATATTTCTGCAGCCGCTGTGGCCACAAAGGAGGCAGTGGTGCAATGACAAAGGAGAGTCTGTGTGTGTAACAACATATTACCACCGGCAAAAAGTAGCAGATTTAGCATTAGTTAACAAAATTTAAGCCAAAATGAAAAACACCATGAATTAACTGAACTATTGTAAAACTGAATATTAACAGTTAACAGAAAACAATCATCATGGAGCCTGTGAAGGCTTTGGAGGCAACACCCTCACATACCAACAAACGCAGTCAATTTCTACTTAAAATATCAAATGCTAACATTTCATGTGTCCATTATTTTTCTAAAACCCTTTCACTAATGAATGGGCTATATGCCCAACTCCACTACTTCCTGAACTTCAGACAGCTCCTTTGCTTCCTGTTTTTCATTAATGGACAGACCGATTATTCCAGGTGTGTCTGGCCATCGTTGTCATGGTTACTGAAGTAATGAAGCCGGGCATGTACTCCAATGTACCACAGATGGGATGTTGGGCCCCTTTAGAATTAGAATCTACTCTTGATAACATCCCAACCTGACCAAACTAGAACCAAATGGGTTTCTGTACCTGGCAGCCCTTTGCTTTTCAATTCAATTTTAATTTAGTTAATTCATATAGCGCCAATTCCCAACACATATAACCTGAGGGCAGTTTAAAAGGACAATACATTCAGTCTGGTTAAAAGTTTCTTTCAAGGAAAACCAGTTGATTGCATCCAGTCATTGATTTGTGAGACATGCTCCTCCTGGGTGAGCTTGCAGTGTTGATTTTTGCTTGCATTTTGCCGTTGACTTGTCAGCAATCCTTCACACCGAGCATGCATGTGGTAACATTGGGGAGGAAAACTCCCTTTTAACAAAGAGAAACCTCCAGCAGAACTAGGCTCAGTGTGAGCGGCCATCTGCCGAGGCCGACTGAGGTTTAAGATATAAAAAGTAACTCTTAACCAGCTCCACACATGGATCTGTACAGGAAAGACACAGCCAAGCAGACGAGCTCCAAGCCAATTCTCTTGTCAGAGTACAGAAGAGAGCACATACAGTTAGTTACAGTAAGAGGAACATGCCAAGCTCCAACATCTATAAACAGAGAAATCGATGGCAGCAGCACAGCTGATATTTCAATCTAGGATGGAGTCACAGCCGAGCAGGAATAGAACCAGATTAAGCAGAAAAAAAAGAAAGCTATGAATGGAACTTAACAAATACTGTAGATTGGGAGAACAGATATATAATGAAGCAGAATAAGTTAAAGTGGTCTCTATGTCATGTAGCAGCCTAAACACAGAGCAGCACAAATGCAGAAAATAGCTCAGGATAACTAAACATTTTGGATGAGGTAGAGCCACAGTAGAGCCCAGGTAGAGCAAATGTCTGTCTGGACTGACATTCTGCCCTGCTGTCAATGCTCTACCCCATCCTACCTCTCTACCTACTCAGGGATCAGGCAAAAATCACCCGATTTTTAACTATAAGCTTTATCAAAAAGGAAAGTTTTAAGCCTAGCCTTAAAGGTGGTAGTTGTTCCACAAAATAATTGCCGGATAGCTAAAGATCTGCCTCCCATTCTACTCTTACAAATTCTAGGAACCACTAGTAAGCCTGCTGATTGAGTGCTCTGTTAGGAACACAAGTAACAATCAGATCTCCGATATAAGATGGAGCTTGATAACTTAGAGCTTCATATTACACCTTTCCCACTGACCGAAACCACAGTGAAAGTGAAATAAAAAGATAAAAAAGGCCTGGGTCTAGTTCAAAGCTGATAGAAAAGATAAAAGAACATGGGCAAAAAACAGCTTGGCTCCAATGAGCATACAGTGGTAACATTAGACCATTGAACGCAACATGCGGACGTCAAAACACTACACTACGTGCATCTGATCTAACAAGTCTAAACAAATCTGCTTACCTTCGATAAACATGCTGCCGCAGTGGAGGGAGGCATTCGAAGATTGCTAGCAGGTCGATTGTTAGCAGGTCGACCCATGGGAGTAGAGGGGCAGGATAACATCTTATTCATAAGATTTCCTGTTAACAAGAGACCCACAATTCAGACACTTTGAATATAATTCACCTTTAAAATATCTATAAATACCTTTTTCGTAACAAAGCTTTAAGTAGGATATTTTGATATTTAATTATTATCCATTGCTGAGTCTAAAACTTATAATTATTTTTGTCATTCAGGAACTCAAAGATCTCAACAGACTACGAGGACATCATATCAGCAAGTGAACTTCTACAGTCAGGTCCTCCTGCTGTCTACCAGCTTAAATCAGAGAAAGAACTTATTGGAACTCTCAAGAGAATGACAGTTGGGAAGAGAAATCCAACTAAAGTAAATAAAACAATCTTACTTGTTGGTGAAACAGGAACAGGAAAATCTACTTTGATCAATACTCTGGTAAATCATGCCATAGGGGTGAAGTTTAGGGATGATGTATGGTTTCAGATTGTGGAAGAAGAAGACAGAAGTCAGGCAGAAAGTCAGACATCAGATGTGATCGTGTACCAGATCTTTGGTTTTGAGGGTAAAACTTTGCCTTTCTCTCTGACCATCATTGATACTCCAGGATATGGAGACACCAGAGGGCTGGAAAAGGACGCCATTGTCCGTCAAAGATTGTTGGATTTGTTTAGCTCTGAAGGTGGAGTTGAAGAAATCAACATGGTTGGTCTGGTAGTGAAGGCGAGTGTGAATCGAGTCAGTTCTCGTTTGAGATACATCTTTGATTCAGTGATGTCTCTGTTTGCAAAAGACCTGGAAAACAGCATTGTAGCTCTGATGACTTTCTCAGATGGGAGGTTACCAAGAGATGCTCTACAGGCTCTTGAGGCAGCAGATATTAAAATGGCCAAAAATGAGAAAGGGCAACCTCTTCACTTCCTGTTCAATAACTGTCAGGCAGAGACAAGAGATGAAGAAGAAGAAGATTCCATAGAATATGCATGGCGGCAAACAGCAAAAGGATTGGAAAAGTTTGTCAACTTCCTGGAAAAAACTGGACCCAAAAAGCTGAAAACAACCAAAGAGGTTCTTAATTCCCAAATTCGCCTAACAGCCTCCATCCACAACCTGCAAGAGCGAATCAAATCTGCTGAAAAGATGAAGGATGAGATAGAAAAAACAAAGATAATGCTGGAAAGGTTCGAAAAAGATCTGATTGATGACAAAAACTTTACAATAGAGGTGATAGAGAATTACAAGAGCCTTGAGTCCTACAATCCAGAAAGTTCATGGTCATGGCTTATTTTGGGCTATGATGGAGTCACTCGTTGCGAAATCTGTGAGGAAAACTGCCATTATCCAGGATGCACTATGGCTTGGGTTGCAAGCCACTGTGTGGTCATGAGTAATGGTCGCTGCAATGTTTGTACACAAAGCTGTTCTGCAGAGAAACACGTTAAAGACACACAGAGGTATGTCAACAAGACCAGAACAGTGAAGAAAACTTTAGATGATGTCAAGAAAAAATATACAGCATCAGTGAGGGATACATCAAGCGTGCTTAGAGCCCTGGATCAGAAGATGGAGGAGGTGGAAAAAGAAATAACACAATGGCTAGATGAAGCCTTCAGGCATGTCCTGAAGATAAAAGAGAATGCGCTGAGCGTGAGAACAGTTTCCACTGAGGCTTACTTAGGTGTTCTCATCAGAAGGATGAAGCAGGAAGGGGATGTTTCGAAAATCAAAATACTGGAAGAGATGGCCGGTCAGGTCGATGAAGGAACCAGCAATTTGCTGAGGAGGATCTTTAATGAAGCATAAACCAAGATTTCCTGCATGAATTAATTATAGTACCTTATATCTCCTAGACAACCAGGGGAGGTAACATCACTTAAATAGACTTTCACTTGATTAATTTTCCCTGGACATTACAGCTTACAGGAAAGCAGCCAATGTTTTATTCATTCAAAGCAGAAGTTCTTCTGGGAAGCTATTAGGCTGAATCCAACACTGCACAGTTCTACCACACCTCCTACTGGTTGTATTCATCGTAGTTCTGCTCATCTTGCAATTGAATACCAAAAGAATATAAGCAGGGATCCTCCTTGCCAAGGACAATGGTGTAATTAATCGTCCATCCCGCTGGGGAAGGTCTGGATAGGTCCCAGGTCCCTGCTAGCAGATATTCAATTAAGTCCCCAAATCGGACTCCGCCCCGTCCTACAATATCAGTCATGACAATCGTCTAATTATACATTGTTCCCTTTAAGAGAGTGTTATTTTTATGCAGGTCCATTTAAGTGATGTGATCTCATGCATTAGTTACTATTAATTTATTTATTCACTAAAATAAAAAGGTAGCCTGATAAAACTGCAGTGGATGGACCTGAAAGATAGTTTATTTCGGCCCATACTGATTCTAAGAGCAAAAACAAGAGTATCCTAAATATTAATTTAAAACCATGGAATAGTGGTCAGTGGTAAAGATGACCGCTGTGGTTGGAAAATTTAGATTTCTCTTATTTCATATATTGATTTATGCTATTTACTCACCATGAAAGTTTTCACTCAGTTTCACCTGCAAGGCAACACAATGCCTGAGTGAGGGGTGTTTGTAGACAAGGCATACTTCTTCCCATAATAAACCAGATTCTTTCTCAAGGTTTCTTAACATGTTACTGTTTAACCAAAGTGTCTGTAATTTGTTTTGACTCTGACAGCTTTACATTATTGTAATTAAGGTTGAACGAATGCTACCCAGGCAGAACAGGGCTGATTACCATGCATATGAACTTTCCTTTCTTTGCAAAGATAAAATAAAGTGCAAACTGAGTGAAATCCATCGATCTCCATTTATTTGACTGGGCTGTATAGTTTAATACTTTTTTCCTACTACATCGCACAGACCGGTGTGTCAGGTGCCTTCCAGCAGGACCGAACGATCATTAAACTGGGGTCTGGATAAGAACACCATTTTTACTACAACACCTTCTCTCAAAAACTCATCAGCTGACTTCAAGGTAGCTTTAAATGTGGATAAAGTATGTCTTTCTAACAGGTCTCAGTCTAGATAAATTATGAGATCTTTTTTCCCCCTTTAAATAGAAAATACTTCCCAAAACAAGGCATGAGTTCAGTTTCCAACTTTAGATCAAAAGACAACAAAAAAGTCCACTTGGTCACTCAAACTCATTTCGTGTCTCGTATAATAATTTCAGGCTGATTTAAACTTAAATAACAGGTGAAGAAGAGATAACGGTACATTTTATGTACTGTTACAATCATTCAGGACTTTGTCATGATTTGGTTGTAGTTTGAGGACCCAAATGCAGAGGCAGGGAGGCAGAGGTGAGTTTCTTGTAGATTTTATGAAAGGTTAACAGACAACTGAGGCAGAAATCCAAAAGCAAACATGACAAAAGTAAAACAAACCAGAATCCATGGAGACATCAGGGGAAAACAGTAAGAGTTGGAGGAAGTTAGACAAGGAACCAGCACTGAGGAACTGCACAAGGAGAGTATTTATGGCTAACTGAACAAAGACAGGACTAATGAGCTGATTGGGAGCAGGTGTGAAGAGAGCAGTCTAATGAGCCAGGGAAAAAGGAGACCAATACATGAGGGCAACAGATAAAAACCTGAGAACTGAAATATAACCAGAAAACACAACAAAATAAGAATTAAACCAATAAAACTAGAAAACATGGAGCAAAGTTAAACTGAATACTCAAAAGAAAACATAACAGAACCAAGACTGTGACAGACTTGTGCTGCTTTTGTTTCCTGTTGTTCATTATATGTGAGGTTTCTTAACATAAATCAACTTCCTGTCCAGATAACTATCTCCTCCTGCCATTCTACATCCTTTTGGGATAGCAGCAAGATGAGGGTCTGTCCTGCCTGGAGAACTAGCGAGGCTCCAAATGAAAATCATAATTCTAAACACTCTTCTATTGGTTGCCACCATGGACATAAAGCAGAATGAACTTCCATATACACATATGAAAAGTATTACACCTACTATACTGAAAACCTTGCAGAAATACCAGTCTCACATAAACTAGTGAATACATTTACCTCCTATATAACCAACTCAAAAGCTCTTATGCAAAGAAATGAGAACTGTTTTTATAAGCTCTAACATAAGCTCTAATACACGCCACTCAAATATTTGTTGAGGTCTTGTGTAAAATTCTGTGTCACACTGCATCTAGATGGACAGTTTGTACAGCATGTTTGATGTATTTGTCTTCAAAAATAACGACAGATCATCACGTCAAGATAGTTACTTTAATTTAAATCTATAGCTCATGGTAAAAATAACTCATAAATAAATAAAAAATAGACCTAAACCTTGTCTTATAGGCTTTTTTTTAAATGCAGTTTGGTGTTTGCTTTGTAAACTATTGCCAATAAAACTGTTTTCCAGCTTTATATGTCTTGTTTACTTGTTCACTAACAGCCTGAGAAATATGAGTGAGTCATAAAACACTTTTCCAACACAGTGTTCACCTTCAGACATTTCCTCCTAATTGACTTTGAAAACATCTTATCTAACAGGATCTGACCAAAACGTCTGCATTGATTCGGTATAATGAACATTCTGTTGATTTGTTCTGTTCTGTCACAGCACAAAGACTAAGATAATATCACTTCATAGATAAACCAATTAACAAACTAGATCCCCCGTCTGCTATTAATGCAAAAAGCAATTTATATTCAGCACTATTATGACATACACATTATTAAAAATGAAAAGAAAAAGTTTCTCTGTGAAAAAAATCAATGGCTTTGAAGGTCTTTCTAACAAATGTGACCGCTAGAGGGCAGTAGATACAAGCATTCTCTCTGGTTATCCAGAAGAAAATCACTGTCCCAACAGTGAGAAGGAAAGACTGAATTCCTGATAAAAATTTGCCTCTGAGTCATTTTTTGTATGTTGAAAAATATATATTGTAAACCTTATAGATGCAACAGCATTAACTAAAAAAAAAAAAAAAAGATAAATTAAATAGTAATTGAACAATAAAATCATAACTAAAGGCTGTTGCTGTCCTCTTTCTGAGGGAACAAACACATTTTAGGAGAGCTGGTCCAGCAAGTTAGACAGGATCTATGTTTACCATTTAGTTTGGATTCTCATGTTCAGGTTTAGAGTCAAGAAAAATAAAACGTATATACCCATGTACTATAACAACAGTATATAAACAAACTATTTAAAATAGTAGTCAGTCATCAAACAATGCAGAACAAATAACTGCAAAAAAAATTGATTAAAGAATAATAATTACTTAAACAAACATGTGTTTATGTACTTGTTTAAGTGACAATTTAGGAACCAATTTTACAGTCACTGAATCCCTAAGCACCAATAAGCATAAAAGGCTTTTTGGACCTGAAGCTTATTCCTAAATTGGCCCCATTTAAGGAGCCAAGGTTTGGGTTTAGAGTTATGATGCAAACTAAGTTTAAGTAAAATTTTGGATTAGAAAAAAATACAGGAGCTGAAATGGATGAGTTAAAAACAGAAGTACAAACTTGAGTGTGTGTCTTGGTGTGCTCTAGCATAGTTGTGCACATTTTTTACAACATGTAAAGACAAACCGCTCATTCCGTGCAGAACAAGGTTTAGAGACAAGAAAACTGCTCCTTTAGGGAAAGGAAGTAGATCTAAGACTAGGGTGGGAAGGGAGCGGTAAATAGATCAGGTCCTTCTTCATCATTACCAAGATGGTACTTTAAATATAGTTTAATCAGATTCACTAACAGGCAAATAAAGAGGCAAAGCTGCATAAAAACATTAAATATATTCAAATTTTCAGCCAAACCACCACAAATTGCTGTTTTTTTAGATAAACACCACAGTTCAGTATATTTCTCTTTAAACTTATAATTTTCACACTAAAGAATTTCCCTTAAATCAGTGGTTATATAAGAATTGCCATTGCAATTAGTTTTTCCCTCAGTGAAAGCAAAGCATGTTTGTTTCCGTGAAACCATGTGACGTGTAACTCCTCCTCTAATGGCATTATAAGCTGTTAACCCAGCCCAACTTTAGTTTTCCTGAATAATGCTCAACCCAGGTAAGAAAACCATAGATGTTTAGCTTTTCTGAGATATCAGGTGTAACAAAGGTTTTCCTGAAAGATTTAACATGTAAACGGTTCAAGATTTAAAAGTTTATTTCTAATATTTGCTTTCTTGTCAAAGATAACTTTATTATAAATTAATATTAACCCTGATTTCCGCCTCTCTTTCTCTAAAAGTTCTCAAACAGAACTTTTTTTTTTTTTTCTATATGTTAGATTACATGTTTTATGTTAAACCGTGAATATTTTATTTAAAATATAAATGTTGGTTTCTTCAGCACCTCGGATGAGAAATTGGAGTTCCTGGTGCTACTTGCAGCTCACAAACAAACTTGGCTTATTTATATTTGACACGATGGAATGAGACGTATGAACAATAAAAAGTAAGAATTTAGTTTAAAGATAAATCAACTCAGTTAAACAAAAAAGTAAAATGAAATAGGATGTTTAAAGATGTTTTAAGCTTCAGTACAGAGAAAAATGTATGTCTGTAAATACTCTTTTCAACATTGCTCTAAGATTAAACAGAGTTTCTCAAGAATTTAAACCCCCTAAATGTTTCTTTTCACTTGTCCTGCAGGTGGAAGTTTTAGCCCTGTGCCTTGTGGTGTGCAATGATAATCTAAACATATCTTTTTCATATTTTGACTGAAATGACACTGTAATCACAAAGGAAATCGGGTTGTTTTCACCAGGCAATGTACTTTCAGTTTATTTTTTAATGAGGAATAATGTTATTTTTTACATATTTTCCAAACTTACACAAAACAAACATTCAGTAGATGCAAATTTGGTTATGAGCTTTAAATATGCAGTCCTGATTTTAATAATTGGAAACCTATTGTCAAGTAAGACACATATGGTTAGCTACTCATAGTCTTAGCTTAAAGCTATATTTAGTCACCTACAGGATGAGCCTTCAAACATTTGATTTGCTACAATTTTTATTTCAAAATCTACAAAGGTTTTAAAAGTAATACTCAGACCCATCCCTCCACAGGCTCCAGTCTCATGACTATACTCAACTATAAATACTATACTAAACATATTGTGTGCAAAAAACAAGTGAAATGTTATATGAGCAGTGATATACCATCCCCGCTGGTCATTCCTTCTGCATGTCAGAAAGAGTGTACAGCTACTGAGCTGAAAGCCCAAGAAGGGTCCTTAGAGGAAAGCCAAGAAGAACCAGCAGACACTGACTGCAGAAAAGCATTAAATACAAATTTCCTCCGATGTTTTGCACTTTAAACAGACCACCCGAATTCTTGGGATCATTCTTGATATACTCTGCAGACTGATGGGATCACATGTGCAGCAAAAAAACAACACACCTTAAGCTATCTGAAATGACTAGTGGGTGTAGCTTCTTTTATCACCTGCATTTAAAAAAGAATGTGACTTTACAAGTTTTTTTCTCCTATATTCAATGGATGTCCTTCAATACATGTCTCCTCCACCCAGTCTGAAGCTGCTTGATTGTCCTACTGATGAAAACCTTACTTACACGCATCGCATTTTCTGCCCATGTCGAGGTGCTACACGTAGAAAAGAGTAACATTTTCTAGCTTTAATTAAAGTTTAAGAAGTTATGTAGTTAATCTTTATTTTCAAAAACACATTTGCACTTTCAAGTGTTGCCCAGAGCTATTCTTTCATTTGACTTCATCAATAAACAGATTGTTCTTATCACACGGTTCCCTGCAGGCAGTGAGGGAGAAGGAACATGCTGTGAAACTCAGATCTGTCTAAGATGTGTGTCTGTCTAAGATGATTTAAAAACTACTCCATTTGTGTATATTTTAACAATCCACGTGCAATGGAAGTAGTTTTTTCTTGTTTAATGACACTTTGACTAACATTTTAAGATGTGTTAGTTTTAAATAATGAATGTCAATTAGGGGTAATCATTTCTTGAATGAATAAACCCCATAATACCTCAACTCCATCTGATTGTTTGACTTTAAGGATAATATGTAGGATAATATATATAATATATATATATATATATATATATATATATATATATATATATATATATATATATATATATATATATATATATATATATATATATATATATATATATATATATATATATATATATAATATAATATATATATATATATATATATATATATATATATATATATATATATATATATATATATATATATATATATATATATATAGCATCATCTCTCATATATATGCAATATATATGAGAGATGATGCTTCTCCTGACAGAAAGAATATTTCAGTACAAAGATTGATTTTAAAAAGGAATTATAGGGGACCAGTCAAGGGCCCATCAAACTGGGGAAATTCTGAATGGCTACTACTGTATATATTACATTCAGTTTTCTTGAATTTACAGGTGCCATCATCTGAAAGACTTTCATTGATTTCCAATTACAGTCTACACAATGGACACAGAGTAAGTAGAATTGACAAATACAACTATATTATTTGAGACATTACAGAAATATTCCGTAAAAATTCAAAAAATATCCACTGGACTTGGTTTCCAAGATTTGAAGATGTTTCGCCACCCCTCCAGGAAGCTTTCTCAATTCAGATGTCTGGATCCGAATTGAGAAAGCTTCCTGGAGAGGTGGGGAAACGTCTTCAAATCTTGGAAACCAAGTCCAGTGGATATTTTTTGAATTTTTACGGAATGACTATGACCTGGATGACTAAGAACCTTCATCGGCATTAAAGAAATATCTGAATATCTGTATAGTTTAAATATTTTTTTTTGTTTGTTTTTACGGCACTAGTGGCTCGTTTTTATGGACAGTAGGCTGACAGGAAAGGGGTTATGAAAGAGGGGGAGACACATGTGGGAAAGGATCACAGGCCAGATTCAAACCCGGGTCCCCCGCGTTGAGGACCAAGGCCTCCATACATGGGTTGTGTGCGCTAACCACACCCCATAGCTTTAACTTTACATCAAAAAACCATAAGTATTTTTTTATCATGATTTTAGACAAGATAACTCCTCCAATTACGCTGGCATTCACAGGCAAACCAAAAGACATAGTCTCTCTTTCATCATGTCCGTCAAGTGTTATCCGAAACAGATGTCCGAGCCACTTTGTCTTACTCCTCTTGATGTGGAGGAGAAGCGGCTGTACTCAGGGACCCTGCCAAATAACGAAGTTCCTCTCACTATCTATAGAATCACAATCAGAAATACTTTAATAATACCAGAGGGAAATTACTTAATATATAGGGGAGCGCCCAGCCACCCTCTTGAGAAAACTTGTTTCAGCTGCTCGTATCCGTGATCTCTTTCTTTTCGATTTGATCCTGGTATTATGACAATAGGAGAGGGTGGGAATGTAGAATGACCCGTATAACAAGATGCTTCCTTTGGCTCAGCTCTCTCTTCACCACAACAGACTGGTGCCGCATCCATATTATAGAGGCAACAGCACTGATCTGTCTCTCCTGCTCCATTCTACCCTCACTTATGAACAGGACCACAAGAGAACTTCTCCACTTGAGACAGGAACTTCCCTTTGACCCATAGGGGGCAAGCCACCCTTTTCTGGTTGAGAATATGCACACAGACTTGGAGGACCTGATCATCATTCCAGCCATTTTGCACTCGTCTATGAACCACCCCAGTGCATGCTCTAGGTCTTGGCAACAGGGAGACACCAAAACCACATCATCCACAAAAATCTGGGGCAAAATCTGCTGGTTCTGCTCATAAAGATTATACTCAGAACTAGTGACAGGGAGCAGCACTGGCAAAGTCTAATTTGCACTGGGGACATGTCTAACTTAATGCCGGCAATTCTGACCAAGCCTGCTACTTTGCTTGCAAAGCAAACAAATAGTACTTAAAGAGCCCTCCCACTCCATTCTCATGGTTCGCGCTGCACAGTGCATAATGCCTTCCCCAGTTTCACAAAACACACGTGGGCTGGTTTGGAAAACTCCCATGAAATCTCAAGCCACCTGCAGAGGCTGTAGACTGTTCCAGAGGCCGGAACAAAAATCACACTACTCCTCTTGAAGACGAGCTTTTCAGCCAAACTCTCCTCTCTAGCACCCTAAAATAGGCCCTCCTGGGGATACTAAGAAGTGTGATCTCACTGAAGTTGGAACCACAAGATGGCTAAGCTTGGGGGAGACAAGCAGACTCACCCTGGGTCTCTGCTTCTGCCAGTGGGGCTTCCAGAGTGGGAGGTAATCCAGTCTCTCTAAAGGAGCTGGGTTCCAGAGGACAAGCTATGTGTGCAGATGAGCCTGACTATTTCTAACCAGTAACACTTTACCTTCCACACAAGCTAGGGCTCTTTCCCCCACAAGAGGCGAGATTTCACATCTCCAGAACCAGCGTAAGTGTCTGTATATCAGGTTGCCAAGGTCCCTGTCTTTGACAGCTGTCCAATCCTCCCTATTGGGTACCCCTGCAAGTGGCAGTATATTTAGTTTTATAAATAGGGAATTAGCTCAAAACAGGTTTAAATTGGAGGGCAACCAGACTCTCGCTCACTTTTTTGGATACATTCTGACCCCTATCCAGTAGTCTTTGTCAATTCTGTTGTTAAATAGGAAGTTGTCTATAAGTATTTGTTTTCTCTAGGGGGGGTTGTGGCAATGTCTAAACTAACATTTATTATCTTCCACAGTGTACTGGTCCAGCCAGGATGTCCAGCCATCTACCAAAAGAAAACAAAAAAAGGGAACCTAGGGACTGTGACCAAAGTCACTTTTGGTAAAAAGAAACTGAACAAACCAAATAAAACCATCTTGCTTGTTGGGGAGACTGGAGCAGGAAAATCTACTCTGGTCAATGCGCTGTTCAATTATGCCATGGGAGTTAAGTGGGAGGATAAGGTTTGGTATAAGATTGTGGAGGAAGGGAATGAAACGTCAACATCAGATGTGGTGGTGTACGAGATCTTTGATTCCGAATACAAAACTCTGCCCTACTCTCTGACCATCATCGATACTCCTGGTTACAGAGATACAGACGGACTTAAATATGATGCTATCATCAATCAAAGATTGTTTGACTTGTTTCGGTCAGAAGAAGGGATCCATGAAGTTCATGCTGTTGGTGTGGTGATGAAAGCAAATGAAAACGAAAAGCGCGGCCAGCTGACAAATGTCTCAGATTCAGTTATGTGTCTGTTTGGTAAAGGCTTAGAAAAAAAAACTGTAGGTCTTATCACACACTCTGATGGGACGAAACCTGATGGGACGAAAGGGAGAGGCCCTCTTTACTTAACATTTAATAACCGTCAAACTGAGGCACGCACAAAGGAAACTAGCTCAGATCTAGAAGAAGCATGGAGATTGGCAGAGAGGGGAATGAGCCAATTCTCAAATTTTCTTCAAAAGATCTCAGCAGAGCAGCTGCAGGTAAATGTTACATTTGACTCATTCATCAGATCGACAGCCTCCATCCACAGCATGCAAGAGAGAATCAAACTAACTGAATTGAAACAGAAAGAAATCAAACAGATTCAAGAGGCTCTGAAGAAACACGAAGAAGAGATGAGTGAAAACTTCTCTATAGAGGTAGAGGAAGTCTACAAAGATAAAGAACCCATTGATGGTAAGAAGTCATTCTTTAAAGCAGCTGTCTGCTGCACCGTCTGTGAGGAAAACTGCCACTTCCCTGGATGCACGATGGCCCCAAACCCTGAAAAGTGTGAGGTCATGAAATCAAACTCTTGCACTGTTTGTAGCAAGAAATGTCCCGTTTCAAAACATGTCAGAGTAGACTGGAAATATGTCACCAAGACTAGGAAAGTGCAGATAACCAAAGAGGAATGTAAAAAGAAGTACTCAAGGAGCATTTCGGATACAAAACAACAGGAAAATCTTAAAGAGTCTCTTGAAAAAACAATGGAGATATTAAACATAGAGAAGGGTCGTTTGATAGAAAAGTCTTACAAAATTGCCATTAAACTGGATCCAACCCTCCTGAAAGTCAACTCAGTTTCCACGTACATCAATTTGGACTACCTGATTAAGACGATAAAGGAAAACGGAGACACAAAGAAGGTGCATGAACTTGAATGGATAGATGGACAGATGGATGAAGGAGCCAAATCAGTCATTGATTGCAAGTAGGTCCACTCAAGTATTTATGGTTTTATATTAAAAGTACTACATTAAATGAACAGACTTTGTTTATAACAAATTTCTTGAGGACTGATATAAAAGATACTTTGACTCAGATTACCCTCACTTTTTAGCTTTTTAATGGTGTTTTTTTTTAAAGAAGAAAGCCATGCTGCTATGTTTTCTGATACCTTGCTATTGAAATGGAATATATACCCTTATTGATCTATTTAATTGGTACGGTAATAGAAGTAATCGTGCTTAATTTAAAGAAAATTATTTATACCCCATCAGTCCTTTACCTGCCATCAGAATTAAACAGGTTTTTAAATCCCCCTACCTTGTTGACATGAGAACTATCCCAGAGTTTGGCAGCATTCAGAGCTTATAATTAAGATTGTTAAGACTGATGTTCCGTAAAAATTCAAAAACTATCCACTGGACTTGGTTTCCAAGATTTGAAGACGTTTCGCCACCTCTCCAGGAAGCTTTCAATTGAGAAATCTTGGAAACCATGTCCAGTAGATATTTTTTGAATTTTTACGGAATGACTATGACCTGGATGACTGAGAACCTTCATCAGCATGTTAAGACTGATGGTGTATTCCTGAAGCATTTTCTAATTAACCTTTAAAGGCATTTACCTAAAGTGCAATCTCTTTGCTCTTTGTACAGGTTTGACAACACTTCCTTACAACATATTGTCTCAAACAGTGTTGCCCACAGCTCAGGGCCTCCTGCAGTCTACCAACTTAAAACAAGAAAAGAAAATATCGGGACTATGACCAGAGTGACATTTGGTAGAAGAAAACAGAACAAGCCAAATAAAACCATCTTACTTGTTGGTGAAACAGGAGCAGGAAAATCTACTCTGATCAACGCTATGGTCAACCACGTAATGGGAGTGAAGTTTGAGGATGAAATCTGCTTTCAGATCGTAGAAGACGAGAAGAGAAGTCAGGTAGAGAGTCAGACATCAGATGTGATAGTGTACGAGATCTTTGGTTTTGAAGGTAAAACTCTGCCGTACTCTCTCACCATCATTGATACTCCTGGATATGGAGACACCAGAGGCTATGAGCATGATATCATAGTCATTGAAAGATTGTTTGAGTTGTTCAGATCAGACGATGGCATTCATGAGCTTGATGCAGTGGGTTTGGTGCTGAAGTCAAGTGTTAACCGTCTCAGTGACCGACTGAAGTATATCTTTGATTCAGTGATGTCTCTGTTTGGAAAAGACATAGAGAAGAACATTGTAGCGCTTGTTACTCATTCCACTGGAAAAAAACCGAAAGATGTGCTTAAGGCTCTTGAAGCTGCAGATATTAAGTGTGCAAAAGATGAAAAGAAACAGCCAGTTTACTTCCTGTTTAACAACTGCCAAAATGAGGAGAGAACAGAGGAGCCAGAATACCTTGAAAATGCCGATAGAGTAGCAACGAGAGGGCTGAGTGGCTTTACTGCCTTTCTGGGTAAAACTGAGCCTCAGAAACTAGAAACTACCCTGGATGTTCTCAATGAACGTATCAGACTGTCTGCCTGCATCCAAAACCTGCAGGAAAGGATCACACTGTCTGAGCTGAAACAAAGAGAGATTAAACAGATCCAAGAATCTCTGAAGAGCTATGAAGAAAACAAAGACAAGAATAAGAAGTTCACTGTAGAATTTGATGAAGCCTACAAAGACAAGGAGAACATTCAAGGAGATATGTGGTTGATGACTTTAATTAAAGGAGCAGTCTGCTGTACTATCTGTGAGGAAAACTGTCACGTTTCTGGATGCACAAGTTCTAAAAACCCTATAGACTGTGAGGTGATGAAAGATGGCATATGCACTGTGTGTTCTTCAAAATGTCCTGCCTCTGCTCATATTAAAGGACAGTGGAGATATGTGACAAAAACTAGGAAAGTCCAGAAGGATATAGACAACATAAAGACAAAAATTAAAACAGAAAGGCGTTTGAACTTTTTAGAAAATCTGGAGGCTGAAGTAAAAGATCTTTCAGCACAGAAATCTAAATTGCTTGATGAGTCCTACGAACATGTTGTCCATCTGGAGCAGATTGCTCTCAAAGTGAATTGTTTTTCCACATTTGTTCACTTAGACTTTCTGATTGACAAGATGAAAGACGATGGAGATCCAAAAAAGCTCCAGAAACTAGGGGAGATAAAGAAAAGGGAGGATGAAGGAGCCATGTCCAAAGTGCAGTATGTGTTTGGCAAATTGGCATTAGCTGGAAAGAAAATGAAAGAAGCAGCAAATACTAAGTTCGGTATCTGACTCTGACTTAAGTTGTGTATTCTAAGTCAACCACAACACGAACACAGTTATACAAAAGCCTATCTAGCATCATTCATTTTCTGAGCAGTCAACAACAGTACTCGGTAATAACTGAAATCACTGCACTGTCTGTATAATTCACCCTGTATGGGTTTTCAAATAGTAGTTGTTCATGTTCTTTAACCTTAAAATGTGGGTATTTTGTTGGTAAACATAAACGCTTGTATTACTGGCCTTATAAGTAGTTTTCCCCCCATTATGTAATCTAATAACTGAGTGTTGCCTAACCTTAAGTTATAACTCTGGGATGAAACAGAGCATTGGGGGCACTTTCTTCTGAAATAAGGATCTCTCTATGCCTAACAGTAATCCCATTAAAATATATGTTGAATGTAAAATGAAAAAACATGAAGTGTATTTGTTTTGTTTTTTTAATCTAAGTTGCATATTGTTTGATTGAATACATAAACCTATTCCCTACCATTTAACCGGAGCACAAATATTTGACTTGTCATATGTTAAAATTACATTGTATTGCATCCTCTTTCTGGTAGAGTTTTCTGTATGAAGTAATAAAGTTCTTCTCTTGAATTTAGTGAGCTTCTTTTTCTAGATCAAACACTGTTACTACAGACAGAACATAACTGTAAGGTGATAAGTATATTTTTGAAAGAAACATTAAAAAACAAATTGCTCTCAATCAAATATATTTCAAAAAATCCAAACCAAATTGAGATAACAGCTTCATCTAAAAGAAAAACATATTGTCCAACAGGCAATGTGACTAAGATAATAAAATATACTGTAATTAAATTGTTATTTATAGACAAGTTTGATTATACACCACATTTTACTAGCAAGATCATTCAAAGGGCTGTACATTGAAAAGAAAATAGCAAAAAACTAATGTAAATTGCATTGATACAAAGCTAATCAAATATTTAATGGTCATTTAAACAATCTATTAAAAGATAATAAGGTAATTGAGGGATATTTTAATAAAATCATTGATAATAAAATTAAAGAAAGTTGGTCTACAGGCTTGAACTAATATTGTTTAAATATTATTGCTAAAGGACACTGTACATGTATAAACGGTGCTTTAACAGTGTTCTGGGACACTGTTCCAGATAAGTACGTCATAAAAGCCAAAAGTTGCTTCACTAGAATTAGTTTTGCTTTTAGTTATGCAAAGTAGACTAGTTCCAGATGACCTGAGAGGTCTGTAAGGTTGACAACAAGTCCAGTTTATCTTTAATCTAAGCCATTCATTGATATCTAGACTAATAGCAGTATTTTAAAATCTATTCTCTTACATACATGAACCCAGTGCTTTAAAACTGGGGTGATAGTTTAACAATGACACAGGCAGAGGCATTTCTATGGAGAGCCGTTTCATGAAAATTTTATAAATATTGGTAAATTGTCAATAAATATTCTATTAAATAAATAAATATCCCTATGAAATAAAACAAAACAAATACGTTAACATAATTTTTATTTTATTATATTTCAACATTTTTTATCTATTCCAAGATTTGTTAACTGCATAAGTTATTTATCTTTTATTTATTTATTTATTTCATAATGGAGTATTATTTTGTGACACTTTTATTTTGAAAAGCTCTACGGAGAGCTGTTTCATAAAAATTTAATAAATATTGACAAAATGTCAATAAATATTCTATTAAATAAATAAATATCACTATGATACAAAAATAGACTAAATATGTTAAAATAATTTTTATTTTATAATATTTCAACATTTTTATTTATTCCAAGATTTGTGAACTGCATAAGTTATTTATCTTTTCTTTCTTTCTTTCTTTATTTATTTCATAATGGAGTATCATTTTGTGACACTTTTATTTTGAAAAGCTACTTTACCTATTCAGTGACTTTTATTTTTTCACTCCGTTTTTTTCATGTTAAGCTCCTTATTATTTTATGTTCTTATATTTAAATGAGGTGTCAGGGTTTTATCTGTTGGGTGGCGCTGGCAGCTTCTCATGAGTGAAACAGAAGCTAGTTTGCAAAATATCGAACACGACAAGAAGAAAAGCATTGATGCTGATTTTTTGGCAGCATTTTGCAGAATGCTCCTGATCTTTCTAGATATCTTCAGCTGATTTAAATGTCTGAAAACAGAAGCCTTGGAGATTTATTGAGAGAATAATATCACTGTCAGAGAAGTCATTAAATATTTTTTAAATACGTAGTGAAATATTTTTTGTGATTTAAGGACAGAAATAAGTAGTTTTAATACCATAATTACATCATTTATAGCGACCTGGAAGAATATCTGCCTGCACATGTGTAAAGGAGTTGATAGAGATCGTGCTTCCCGAACAGATCGGGTAGCAACAGGACCAAACAGAGCTCAGCAAGAGGAATTACTCTGATTTGATTGGTCATCATGAATGGAGTACTTGAGTTTCTGCAAAGCAGATGCACTTCCCCTGACAGTTAAAACTCTGCCTCCTTATGTAAATGCAAGAACATGAAATAAAACGAGCTTAAAATGAAAAACTAAGTTAAAAAAAGACACTGAATACGTAAAAAAGTTTTACAAAATAACACTCCATTATGAAATATACAATATGATAAATCAATAATGAAATAAATGTATTCAGTAATTAATACATGAAAATAATGAAATAAAATAGGATAAAACACATCTAACATATTTTTGTTTCATGGGGATTGTTATATATTTATCAAAATATTTATTGACAAGTTATCAATATCAGTATTTATTTATTTATTCAATTCTTAAGGAAACGTCTCTCTGTAAATCCTGGATCAACTGCAGCTGTCTGAATAATTTTTTTAGGGCTGACCTGTGATGACACCTGTGCAATAATTAATTCTGCTGAAGCTATGTATTTAGTTTTCAAAATCCTCATTTAATCCTGGAGACAAAAGAAGACTATCCAGGTATCTTCTCCTTGGTCTATCAACACTCTTTTTTTTTTTTTTTTCATGAATTGATTGTTTTAAGAACCTCGATTTTAAAGCATTTTTATCTAAAAGCTCTCAAATACTGTGCTCAAACAGCTCGGAAAGATGAGAAGTTGGTAGGGTTAACGAGTGTAGCACTGACGTGGGACCACTGGAGAGCCCTCAATAATGATAACTACCTCGGCATTACTGTACACCTCATTGATGCCATGTGGGAACTTCACTCCTTCACTTTAGGTAAGCTATGTTAAGCAATTTTACATTTAATTTTGCTACTACACCACAAATGATCACCACAATATTATGTTTGTTACTTGACAATTGCTTGGGTGAATGTGGGTAAAGTGTCACAATTCCATAGAAAAGTTCCGCTCGTTTGAACTTCAGTGATCACCACTTCGCTCTCTCCATGAGGTGCTGCTGTTTGACACCTCAGCTCTATCTAGGAGCACGACGTGAGAGTAGAGTAGTCACTGTGTGGGATTCACTGCTGGCTGCCTCCCCGCGTGTTTGCATAGGAATTCTATGTGAATCCACCCACTCATCACTGACGCCTCATCAGATCTGAACACACTGAAACCAAACCAGATTCTTAACACAAGTATACACCCAGTTACTGTTCTATTTAAATTATGTCAATAATTATGAACACGTACCAAACACAGACTCTGTTTGGGAGTGGTGGCCTAGTGCTTAGGGCATTGCGCTGGGATCCCAGTGGTTCTGAGTTCAAGCCCCACTCCCAAAGACTGCCAATATGGGTGCCTGAGCTAGACCCCTAACCCCACACTGCTTCCCCGAGGCGGCACAATGGCAGCCCACTGCTCCCCAAGGGAACGTGTTAATTGCACAGAGTGAGTTTTGTTGCTTTGTACTTGTGACAATGTAATGACAATAAAGTTGAATTCTATTCTATTCTATATTTAAACGCTAGCTCTTCCATAGAGCATTTCAGTGCAAGTCGTCATAACATGCATGGGACCCTTCAGGTTTATACATTCGGAAATAATTTTTTAACACACTGAATAGAACAGATTATCGTAACTAAAATTAGCCATATGCTTTTGTACATGCAGCAACATGTAGGGCAAATAAACATAATTATGGTAAACACAAATTTGTGATAAAACATTGAAATAAATAAGACATTTTTTTTTCTTTAAGACTAAAAGTTACCACTGTATTTAAATACGTCTAGAGTTTCTGTGTTTGCATAACAAAGATTATGTTTTTTCGTGCTTGTTTTTCAATTTTTTTCAAACTTCAATGATGCTTTAGATACTGGGTTGGTATGTGCATGATTTCTGTCAAGACGTGCAGTCTATTCCTCGTATATATCTCAGATTTCCAGGCTCTCTCTGTGTAGTGATTTCAATCCAAACCACAAAAAACTTTAATTTTAGTAAAGACCTAACCTGTGCACTGCATCAGTTCATGGAGCATTTAACTGGATTGTTTTTGGATTTTTTTTTTCTATTTTTGCTTGTTTGTTTGTTTGTTTCACTAAGTGGTTTTGTTAAAAACTATTTATTTGAACTTATTTCATAGAAGTCGAAGCTGTATTTCATGGAAATCCAATTGACTTTAAAAATGTTGTTCAGCTTGAAATGAATCCATATTTATACATTAACAGTCTAAAAGAGAAACCAAAACCTCATTTCAGCGCACGTATACACCCAGTTATTGTTCAACTTAAATCAAGTATGAACACATACCAACATAGAGCCAAACCCATATTCTATTCAAAAAGCCATTGTTCCCAGGGACATTTAAAGAAGTACCTTTTTTTTTTAAACACCCTCCTTTTTTCTGCAGGCACTATACCCTTGATTGACAGTGGGTGTTTCCTTTTATATGAAATTGTGTTATAATAGGAAAAAACCTTACAATCAATCAAAAATCTTCAATATTAGTTATAAGGTTTGTGCAGATGTCAAACTTTAACAGATAGACACCAAAGGAAAAAATAAAAGAAAACAATTATAAAGAGGATAAAATCCTCTTTGCACCTTCTAAAATAAAAGTACAAAACCACCTTTATGAAGTGCACATTAACTGGATATGAATGAGCTTAGTTAGGAGGGACTGACCTGAAAGAATTCAGGTAGTGAAAGTGGGTTTACCTCCAGAGAAAACACACTCTGCTCTTTTTTTCCTCAAAAGGGGACTAAAAATACAGCGAGGAAAAAAAAATTGGAGTGAGAGTGGAGCAAAACATTTTAGCATACACTCAGGATCTCAGCTAATTTCTACATCATGCCATTTGACCCCTGCAGGCTCTTCCTCTTTATCTCTAGTGCCTTTGTGTGATTTTGGTAACTACACCATTGTGAAAAGTCGTGAAGAATTTAGCCTAAATTTAATGGATATTATTCTGCAGTTCTAGCTCATAAAAATATTTTAATTGAAGGCAGTTGCCGATGTTTCAATGTGAAAAGCTAATAGTGAAGGGGTGGTGGGTGCGCTAATCCTGTCTGATGCCTCTTAAAATGGGAGCTCTGAAGAACTTCTAAACTTTGCAAAAAGAAAAAAAAAGGAATTCTTAAAAAACAACAAAATCAACTTCATTAAAAAAAATTAAAAAAAATTAAATAAGTTAAAGCAATGCATTAAAAATATAAAAATACATACAACATGCATAACTTGCAATAGTATTTAGATACATTAAGGTAACCTGCCCCACGCTGCCTCCTAGGGAATTAAACTTAATGAGATTCTTTCTGGTGGATTATTCTATTTTCTCCCTAATATAATTGTAAATGAATTCACTACAGTCAACATTACAATTAATAAAACAGAGAATGTAATGTATTTATTCTGCTGCTTAATTATCAGAAGATAATTAAGCATTAAATAGCAACAAAACACCTACAGTATAGTTTTATTTTACATGGTTTTGGTCCCTGTCCCTCTGCAATCTGTTGTTTTTTTAATTAGGTGAAATGTTGTGAGGCATGTTGTAGCTTTCCTCTTAAAGATTTCACTGCATGATACAATTTCAGGTTTAGCTTGAAACCACGTGATCAGTGTTTTCCTCCTCCCCTTAGAGTCGCTATAAAACCTTGAAAAGGTGAGTCCTGTCAGATCGTTCTGCCTTCTCCGCCTCACTAAGCCTCGCTGAGTCTTACAAGGAAGCAGCACGGTAATTGTTTGTTTTGATAAAATACAGACTAATTAGATAACATTGGTGTTGGGAAATTTTGTTTTCCTTTTTGATTATTCATTTGTTATTACATTTTTGGCTATAATTTGTTTTAATCAAAGAGCAACTTCTGTATTTAATAACAAACACATCTTTGTTCACATTTATTCAACTTTTACATAAAGTACAGAATCTGTTGGATGAAAATTATAAAGAAATTAATATGTGAAATGTACCATATAAGATCAGCAGTAACACTTGTTTGATTTTGTTTCATTAGACACTCAGACGTGTTTTGACATCTTTCCTGTGAAGATCTTTGAACCACCTCCTCACAATGAAAAGAGCGTGAGTAAAACTGTTAACTTTTCACACCAATAGCAATGTAATCTGCAATCACCTCTTTTAATGACTCAGAAAAAACATTTAATAATAAAGCATTGACTTTATTCATTATGTGAGATGAAAGCTCTCATGCAGTGTACAGTATCTACCCTGGTCTTGTTTTAGACATTGTTCTCTTAATCATTTCAGGGTGCTGCACCTTTGTATACTGCAGCCTTTAGATAAGCTCCAGGTTATGACGTATAGCTCCCCCTCCTGCCTCCTTGGGTGCATGTCTTTTTTTTTTCTTTTTACATATCTATTCAACTGCACAATGTCACCAAAAGGAAACAAACAAACAAACACACGTCTCCTTTAAATGACCTGGATGTCAAAATGCTGACTTTAGTATAATCTAAGCACTAATACTTTTTTATACAAAAATCCAGTTTTGTTTTATGACTGTTTTCGTACAGATGAGTGGAATTCTAATTTCTGTGTAGAAAAACTTAATGGATATTAGTGGTGGAACAAGGTCAAGTTGTTTCTCCCAGTGTTTTCAGTCAGGTGAAGGCATACAACTCCTCAAGTCAAACTAAAGTCCTAAACTTTTATTTTTGAGTCTTAGAAACGTTATCTGTCCAAATATGTAATTTAATCTTGATATTGTTTAATGATTTTAAATGGTAGAACCGACCAGCAAGAAGACTCAAACATTTAACAAGTCTGTTATTAGTGTTACTTAGTGTTACAAAACAGACAGTATTTCTATGTTAACCAGCTATAACAGCAAAACTGCATATTACAATAATGCATTGTAATCTAATGTAATATTTTTACACATATAAATTAATTTAGCTATAATGTTCATTTTATAAGACATGATTATCGAGCTGCTACTGTTTCTCCCAACTTGGTACTACCGAAGGCCCTGTCACACCTTGACGATTTAGCCAGCGTGTTCCTGACGTAAGGCAAATATACTGACATACGTTGGATAAGTTATGGGTACGTTTTGCGTAAGTTATGAGCACGCTAAAGAATGCTGAAACACACTGGCACACATGGACATACGGCAAGTAAGACGAGAATTTTGAGCATGCGCAAAATTTCCCTGCATATGCCAGCGTATGTTCATACGCGGGCCATATGTTACAGGTAAGTTAGCTGATCGTTGACATAAGTGAAGTGTAAGTAACTCAGTAGTAATTGTGTCCAGCTTATCCAAAACCTATGAGTAACTTGTGCATAACTTAGAAAAAAGAACTTATTTCCAATGCATATCAGCGTATTTAGAATAGAAAAAACTTTATTATCTACCATACATAAAGATGGCAGAAATTTGCCTATGGCTTGCTCACACACAACAATATAAAAGTACATTAAAGTACAATTATAAAAGAGTTCATTGCAGACACAGCAGCAGTAGCAGATTCACTTAATCAAGGGAAAGGGATTTGACGTGTTCCAGATGATCAGTGAAGGTGTTTCTAACTTCCAGCTACTGTTTAATGGCGTATTGGCAGCGTTTTGGTATGAAGGGGGTTCACAGGAGGAAAACATCAGTTCTCCTCTAGTTTTCATCCCCATCATAGGGTGAGCCAGAAGGTGAGTGAGATGGATCCTCTCTGCGTTCACACCCACGGATACGATCAACAAACTTGCTAGCAGACGTGACGCTGAATCTGCTGCAACAGCAAGCCTTCTTTCTTTCTTTCTTTTTTTTTATTTTTATTTATTCTAGGTTAGTTAATACCTATCTAGGTTAATAAAGCGATCAAAAACATATTTTTATGCAGGCCAGGTTCCTCTGGGCGCATCGCTGCCCCCCTCAGGATACTGTGGTTTCTATCTCTGGCAGTCTATGGGCGAGGGGCGGGGTACACCCTGAACAAATTGCCAGTCTGTCGCACCACAGCACAGAGACACTCAAAGTCACACAACCATGCACACACAATTTATAGAAGACCTAACAGTCATGCTTTTGCAGTGTTGTATAAAGTACTGAAATCTCGGAGTCAAGTAAAAGTATAACTACCTCTCCAAAATGTGACTTTTGTAAAAGTCCAAGTCACTGACTGAAATGTTACTTGAGTAAAAGTCTTAAAGTATCTAAAATGGCTTGTACTTAAGTATAAGAATTACTATAAAAATAGATGTACTGAAGTAATGTAGTGAAAAGTACAAGTAAAAAGTTAGTGCAGTTTGAATTATATTTGTTTACATTTTGGTAAACTTTGAAGGTCAAATTCACTTAAAATAATATAAACAACCAAGTGTAGGATCAATTTTGACCAACTTTTATTACTGCTACTGTTATTGACAACATTAGAAAAAAAAGAAAAAAACGGAAGCTTATCTGGCATCTGAAGAGGGAGTCCAGTTTGAAGCCCCTTTTGTAAACGCAGCCAACATGAAGAAAAAAAAAGCTGTAAATTACTGTACTTCACAAGCAAAAGGGGCACACATAACAGGTCATTTTACAAAAGAAAAAGAAATGGGAGGGAACTGCAGCTTATTTGGCATCTGAAGAGGAAGACAGTTTTTTGTAAAACTACCTTAAAACGTAAAAAAAAAAAAAAGCAGTGCTGAAATTAAGTGTACATCACACCAGAGGAAAAAAAAATGCGCTTTAGGCCAATTAACTAAATCTTAAACATTTTGTAAACACAAGCCCCTCATCCCCTCCACACTTTTGCCCTTGACTTTTTTCTTCTCTTCCAAATCTTAACCCACCCTTGTGGTCATCCTCGCGCATAACCCCATTATTACTTGAAACTGTAAAATCTTCTGTTCATCTTTAAAAGCCTGCTACAGTCAACATTTAGCTTAAGCTAAATAAACCACGTGTGGAACTGAAAACAATGCCAAACAAAGTTCATTTATACAGATAATGTTATGCTCAAGATTTCACAATAGTACCTCGTGACCAATCTATATCCTATTGGTGTTGATGAACAAGCCCAGGCAAGACCTGACTTTGCAGGCAGTAGTTGAGGTCAAAACACTTGCGTTTCTCTCGCTCTCTTGCTCGTTTTTATTTTATTTTTTTACATAGTAATTAAACCAAACATTGAAAATGTATCGGAGTAAAGGTATGCAATTAAGTTCACAAATGTAGTAAAATAAAAGTGAAAGTTCTCAAAAAAATGTATACTCTTAGAAAGTATAAAGTACTCCAAAATATACTTAAGTACAGTAGTGAAGTATTTTTACTTCGTTACTACACAACACTGTGCTTTTGAACTGCTGGAGGAAGCTGGAGTACCTGGAGAGAACCCACTCATGCACAGGGAGAGTATGCAAATTCCAACAGAAAGGAATTGGACCCCAAACCTTCTGGCTGCAAGGGAACAGCGCCACCCAATGCGACACCATGCATGCGAGGTTAAAGCTATGGTTGGTTATGTTGGAGAGCCAGAAAGATTTGAAAGCAGCACTTCCCCCTTAGTTCAGAGCTTCGCCCTCCCGCGCAAACTTTAACGCACACCTCACAGCAGAACTCAGCAGGACATTTTGGAGTTCAACCTAACCTCTGTAAGTAAATTATAATATAATTTAAAGCTTTAAAAGTAGCATGTTATTTTTAGCAATACTAATCTCACAAGTTTATTGAGGAGATAATGAAGAATCTTGTGTTGCTCTGAACACTGCTCAACCGGAACTGGAAAGTGAGGGGGAGACACTGCGGTTAGTTCAGGCTCAGTGGGAAATTTGATTCTTGAACTTGAAGAGAAGAATAAGGTTGCTGACTCACGTTTCCAGAAAAGTGGTTTACTCTTTGACTCCAGTCTGTGTGCGGTAGTTCCAGTGCGTGTCTCATTCGGGGGAGGGCAGAACAGGGTTTTGTTTGTAGGTGAACGGAGAAACTGACTGCCACTTGGATTTCCTGCGGTACATGAACGGGTCATAGTGGAGATGAATCCCTTGCTCAGTGTGAAGCTCAAATGATCCCTTGGAGGAAAGTAGATCCAAACCTCCAGTTTGAATCCCCTGCTCAGTTTGAAGCTCAGATGATCCTTCCAGGGAGAGAAGGTCCGAAAACATCCAGTTTGCAGGATGACTTCCTGCCGAGAGGCAAAGACAAAATAAATCGGTTAGGACTCAGGTTGACAAAACTCAGTTTGACTCAGTGAAAACTCAGCTTAGCTAGAGTACCCAAAACTGGCAAAGACTCTGGCGTTGAAATAGTGGCAGTCAGCAGCTTAAGAGCACTCCATTAACGAGGTAACTCCGCAGGTGTGTGAGGAGGCGGACCAGAACCAGGCGCCTCCTGGTGGAGGAAGGGAGACAAACACAAAAACACATACCACAAAGACAGGAATCCTAACAGAGGGGGGGGGGTTGGGAACATTTCAATGCAATGGCCAAACCTGATGAGGAGGGACAGAAATGTATGCATCTAATGTTTTTTTGTTGTTTTTGCCGTTCGGACCAAATAGTAGGGATTGGGCAGGGTTTTTACTGGCTTGCAGCTCTCACGGATGTCTGAATTTTTTGTTCCTCTTCCTGAACACACAAGGTATTGACTACTCTCAGGATGGAAGGACCATTTCACTCAATATAAGAAAAAGTGTTGCTGAACAGGATTACCAACCCTATTTTAAGGCTCTCTGACCACTGTCTGGATTATCTTGTATCCATTATCTTGCATCTGACAAGAATTTCCCAATTTCTCCCTTAACACGTTAACTGTCTGCACCACCTATAACAATTATTGCTAATGCTCCATTTTTATTACCCAATATCAGCTCTAAGACAATATAGACACATTTCATTTTAAAAAAATCATCATCGACCCAGCTTCTGAGACATTTAGCAGCGTAAATTTTAACCATGCTAACTCCCTGTCTCTGTCTGCTGCCTCACAGGTTTAACACTCAGAAAACTTTGTTTTATTATTTTAATAAGATCAGGAGTAATGATAGGGCAACTTCTACCAACAGGTATCATGACAAGCCACAATAAATTATACCATTACATTGAAAAAAAAAAGGTATTGATGCAAATAGCAAATACTGATTTAAATTAGATTTCCTTTGAGCAAGGAGTTTGTCCTTTGTTATAATAAGACACAACAGAAGCATCTTTTAAAAGAGAAATTTTGTTTTTTCTTTTTGTACAGTCTGTTTAAACATCGTGATATTTCTTAGTTGTGAATACCTGGATGCTTATATTTGCCTATGTGCTTTGGTGCCAATAAATTTCTCCAAAGTGGGGCAATTAAAATATTTGTGTACTATTCTAACTTATTCAAAAACAATATTACATGACTCATACTCTTCTTATAATTGTCATGATTATTTTGGTATTTTATCTTTGACTAGAAATGTATCATTGCCATTACCCTAACCTTATAACACAATCACTCAATCAAAAGTTTAATTTTTAAGTTTTAATCATGTTTCAGTATATATTCATATTTTTTTCAGTAATACAATTTAGTTCTTAGCACTGGGGAAAAATACATTTAAACTAGTAAAATCTAATTGTTTTTTCTACAGGGTTGCCCAGTCTAAATTCAAGGACATCATCTCCAAAAGTCTCCTCATCCAATCAGGGCCCCCAGCTGTCTACCAACTACAGCCAAAACAAGAGGACTTTGGACCTCTGACTAGAATGACCCTAGGAAAGAGAAACTTGAACAAGGCAAATAGAACCGTGTTGTTGGTTGGTGAAACAGGGGCAGGAAAGTCTACCATTATTAACTCTCTGGTCAACCACGCCATTGGAGTCAAATTTAGCGATGAAATATGGTTTCACATCGTAAAAGACGAACCGAGAGGGCAGACTGAGAGTCAAACATCAGATGTGATTGTCTACGAGATCTTTGGGTTTGAGGATCACACTCTTCCTTTCTCTCTTACCATCATTGACACGCCTGGATTTGGAGACACCAGAGGGATAGAAAAAGATATTATTGTCAGTCAAAGATTGTTTGACTTGTTTCGATCTGATGACGGGATCAACGAGATTCACGCTGTTGGTCTGGTGGTTAAGTCCACGGACAATCGAGTGAATGATCGCCTGTCATACGTCTTCAATTCAGTCATGTCTCTGTTTGGGAAGAACCTTGAGAAAAGCATTGTGGCTCTCATTACTCATTCTGATGGAAGAACACCCAAGAATGTTCTTCAAGCGCTGGAAGCTACACATATAAAATGTGCCAAAAATGAAAAGAATCAACCAATTTACTTCCTTTTTGATAACTCCCAAGCTGAAGACCGATCAGAAGACGAGGAATTCCTTAAAGTTTCTGATGAAATTTCACAGAAAGGAATGAAAGCCTTTACAGGCTTCTTGGAGAAGAAAAGAGCCCAAAAACTGTTGATGACCACGGATGTCCTGAACGAACGCATCAGCCTGAAAGCCTGCATCCAAAACCTGCAGGAGAGAATCCTGTTAACTGAGCAGAAGGAAAAGGAACTCGTTCAAACCCACGATGCTCTGGTAAAACAAGTAGAAGACATGAAGAAATCTGACGTGGTCACTGTTGAGGTTGATGTTGTCTGCAAAGAAAAAGTGCCAATTAAAAGTAAAGGTTTTTTGAAGTACAGTTTGTTTGAGAAAGCAATGGTTTGCACTGTCTGTCAGGAGAACTGCCACTATCCCGGCTGTACATTCAGTCTAAGCCCTCAACATTGTGAGGTCTTCAAAAAAGGCCACTGCACTGTCTGCACTGGAAAATGTCCTGCGTCGGGTCATGTGAAAGAAAACTGGAGATATGTAATAAAGATAAAAAAGGAAAAGAAGACCATAGAGGTTAAGAAAAGGCTGAAGGCAGGCGAGGTTGACCCTGAAACCAGGTTCAATATCGTAAAAAGTCTCGCTAACGACATACAGAAACTCAAAGCAGAGAGGATCCAGCTTGTCTTAGAATCTTACCAACATGTCATCAGACTAGAGGAGATCGCTCTTAAAGCGAATTGTGTAGCCACTTATATTCACTTGGATTTTTTGATTGACAAGTTGAAGGAAATAAGGGACACAAAGAAGGTTGAGAAGCTGGAGGAGATGAGAAGCCAGATGGATGAAGGAACTAAATTAGCGCTGCAGTATATGTGGAGCAAAACATCAGGAAATGAGTAAAAACAAAGAAAAATCACAACCCCACCATGGCAGGGCAAACAATAAAGCTTCAACAGCCTCCTGTCCTATGGAGAGCTCCTTATAAATTAAACTATCTTTATAATGTGATCACATATTCACTTTTAAATATTACCTCTTTACTCGTAATTTTCCTCAAATGTTACATTTTACTGTCGGGATATATTTTTCTTCAGCTGTTGTCTTTATTCGTATATTTTCTAATGATCAAACATTAATTAACCCACTGCAATAAAAGTGGCTTCTACTGCAGAAGAACGGAACATTTTGCCTTTACTTTAACTAGAAAATGGTGGCTTTGTTTATCTCATTATTTGAAACTTTTAAGCATTTTGATTTATTGAAAAATATAGTTGTGAGGTTCTATTGTTTTCCTAAGTATGCTGAATTTAGAATGTAAGACTATGGTTTATTTCTTATATCAATGATTAAACTCTTTCCTCAACATAATTCCTATATTTTTCCAAACTATTCTGTATTAATCGTCAGTTTTCTGTACATAATGGTAGCTCAATAAAATTGGTTTGCTTGAAATATGTCTTCACTGTCTTTGCTTTTGTCTGAACTAAGTGCTGCTTCACAGACAGAATTTCCATCTTATCTCACTTCTAACAGTAAATATCATTCTCTGCAAACATATGATCGGATAATTTAATTTTAACGTCAAGTACTTGCATTTAATATCTCTAAACATCAATCAGAACCACAATAATGAGAAAGAATTTGTGTTATTTCCTTTATCTTGTTAAATGTTATCATGTTAACACTAAATAATGATAAATATTTCTCCTAATTTCTGACTGCTTAACTTTACAAATGGCACCCCATACTTCCGCCTCTATAATAAATAAAACAAGCAGGACAATAAAGTGAACTTCAAAGCATGGAACCCTGATCAGGAGGAGATGGTCTTTATTTCTCTTTGTTCCAGTAAAACTCCAATCAAGGTTAGCCGATCCCGATGTCCGCCTTCATCTTCTACTCCCCTGATTCCCTCTCCTGCTCCTTTACCTCAATGTAACCTAGCAGTTGGTTGTTCCTCTCTACCGTCCTCAGCGGTGAGGTATGTAAGCAAAAATTTGAACCTTAAACCTAATAATATCTATTTAAACAAATCCCAGGTCCAATACTGGCATTATTACTAATCACAATGTTTAATATGACCTTGATGATTTTGTGACGTTTTTGAAGGCAATCCAAGAGCGCTAATAAATTTGGCCTCAGAATCAGAGCCTGCTTGAATTCAGCTTCAATGTAGAGTTTAATTTAGAGCGGTTATAACTGCAATTGTTCTTATCTGTGAAGATTCTCCATCATCCAGGTCATGGTAAAGCATGAAAGGTTCAATTTAGGCAACTGTACGGGAAATTTTCTAGAACGGAGGTCTTTAACAGGGGGTCCGCTACCCCTAGGGGCTTCCACGGAGGTACTGCATGGGGGGTCGCGAACATTTTGGTTGATTTAACCTTTTTTTATATTCCCCCCTGCAATTTTTTCCACTAATTGAAATGTCTTTAAATCCACATTAACATGAATTCAACCCACTAAACAGATAAATGGAGGCAGAAGATGTCTTTCAGTCATCAATGCACACATTCAGCGACACACAGGAGCTCTTTTAAGCAGGGCAGCGTTTCATTCATAACACCTGTCCCATCAACCAGGAATCAGAAATACTTTAATAATCCCAGGGAGAAATTACTTTCATTACATGACTCATCTGTAATAGAGTGATTATAGGACCAGTTTGATAGAACACAGTTTCATATAATATATATAATTAGGGGGTCCCCGCTCCATCTCGAAATCAGTTTGGGGATCCTTGGCCTGAAAAATGTTAAAGACCCCTGCTCTAGAAGACGTGGTATTGTACTCAAACTGAGATATATACACTATATTGCCAAAAGTATTTGCTCACCCATCCAAATTATTGGAATCAGGTGTTCCAATCACTTCCATGGCCACAGGTGTATAAATTCAAGCACCTAGGCATGCAGACTGTTTTTACAAACATTTGTGAAAGAATGGGTCGCTCTCAGGAGCTCAGTGAATTCCAGCGTGGAACTGTGATAGGATGCCACCTGTGCAACAAATCCAGTCGTGAAATTTCCTCGCTCCTAAATATTCCACAGTCAACTGTCAGCTGTATTATAAGAAAATGGAAGTGTTTGGGAACGACAGCAACTCAGCCACGAAGTGGTAGGCCACGTAAACTGACGGAGCGGGGTCAGCGGATGCTGACGCGCATAGTGCGAAGAGGTCGCCAACTTTCTGCAGAGTCAATCACTACAGACCTCCAAACTTCATGTGGCCTTCAGATTAGCTCAAGAACAGTGCGCAGAGAGCTTCACGGAATGGGTTTCCATGGTCGAGCAGCTGCATCCAAGCCATACATCACCAAGTGCAATGCAAAGCGTCGGATGCGGTGGTGTAAAGCACGCCGCCACTGGACTCTAGAGCAGTGGAGACGCGTTCTCTGGAGTGACGAATCGCGCTTCTCCATCTGGCAATCTGATGGACGGGTCTGGGTTTGGCGGTTGCCAGGAGAACGGTACTTGTCTGACTGCATTGTGCCAAGTGTAAAGTTTGGTGGAGGGGGGATTATGGTGTGGGGTTGTTTTTCAGGAGCTGGGCTTGGCCCCTTAGTTCCAGTGAAAGGAACTCTGAATGCTTCAGCATACCAAGACATTTTGGACAATTCCATGCTCCCAACTTTGTGGGAACAGTTTGGAGCTGACCCCTTCCTCTTCCAACATGACTGTGCACCAGTGCACAAAGCAAGGTCCATAAAGACATGGATGACAGAGTCTGGTGTGGATGAACTTGACTGGCCTGCACAGAGTCCTGACCTCAACCCGATAGAACACCTTTGGGATGAATTAGAGCGGAGACTGAGAGCCAGGCCTTCTCGTCCAACATCAGTGTGCGACCTCACAAATGCGCTTCTGGAAGAATGGTCAAAAATTCCCATAAACACACTCCTAAACCTTGTGGACAGCCTTCCCAGAAGAGTTGAAGCTGTTCTAGCTGCAAAGGGTGGACCGACGTCATATTGAACCCTATGGATTAGGAACGGGATGTCACTTAAGCTCATATGTGAGTCAAGGCAGGTGAGCAAATACTTTTGGCAATATAGTGTAGATAATAATATTTAATAATAGAAAATTTCACGCTTGCAATTGCACTATAAAATTATCCTGAGTTGAATCGAGTCAAATGTGCCACATCGTAACTTCCTCAAGGGTTGAGAAATAAAGACCTTTTAGCAATGCAGTCTTTGTTCTCCCTAATGCCACAGGGTAAGAGGATGGAGGATCTGTAGGTGCGTTATTATCAGCTTTTTCTAATGCTAGGAATGCTTTGCTGAGAAACGCTTGATGGAAACAGAAAGATTCTGGAAAAAAAACAAACAAACTGAATTGACAAAGTTATGCTAGTTTGAGTTTTTTTTTGGCTTTGGCAAAAAAGGGTTAATGTGCAAAATGGCAGATGGAAACACTTTTTTGAATCAGCTCTGATGTAGCAAACCTCATATGACTGATCACCTGTTTCTACTTTGGCGTCTTCCTGGATGTGAAACTTCCTCCACCAATGTTCAAAGAAAAACCAGCATGGATAATAGTCCACAATGTCCAATGTGATACGTGACTCTTGAGATAAGGGATGGAATTAGTTTCTTTTTTTTTAAATTAGGTAATTATTTCTTATTAAATATGAAAAATTATGTTTTGGAAATGTAGACATGTTAAGGTACAGGTTCCCGGCTACATTACATTTTACTGGACTTGAGTTACAACTTATATAAATATCTTAAATAAATTAATATAGCTTTTTGATTAAACATATTACTGATATTTTTACTCTCTGTTTTTTATTTCTTCTAATTTTCTAAATTACTTAGAAAATGTCATACCACCCTTTGGAAATGCTGGAAATCTATTTCATTACTTCATTCCAATGGATAAAGTTCTCTGGACTCTCGTACTGTTTTAGCCTGAAATACCATTCTGTAATCAGTACAGTTTGTCATGTGATAAACTTAAACTTCCTTCAAGAAATTAACCATATTGTCTAATTAAAATGCCAGAAAAAAAAAAAAAATCAAATTTAAACCATAAAACTATTCAACAAGTTGCTGAAAATTGAAAATAAAAGATTCATAAAGAAAATATTGAATCAAGTGATGCAAAACTAAAGAGATTACTGTCTCTCAATGCTTTTTTAACTTTACATATTTGACTTTACTGTACAGTAGCAATTTTAGTTCATTTATTTCAGCACCTTTTATGTGTATCTGAGTGCTTTTTATTCATTTAACACTTATTCCAATATTTCTATACTTTAAGTCAACATTGTAAGTCTGTTCTTCTTTTAGGGAATCTGCACTGGACCAGTTGATCTCTGAAAGTACACTGATCCAGGAAGGAGATCCATCTGTTTATCAACTGAGAGGAAAAAAAGAAAAATCTTCTACAATGACCAGAGTTACTGTTGGTCAAAGAGATTCACATAAGAGAAATAAAACTATCTTACTGGTTGGGGAAACAGGAGCAGGAAAATCCACTTTCATCAACGCATTGGTGAACTTCACCATTGGCGTGAAGTTTCAGGATAAAGTCTGTTTCCAGATTGCAGAGGAGGCGGGCCAGGAGACCTCTGAAGTGACTGTGTATGAAGTTTTAGGTTTTGAAGGTAGAGTGATCCCCTTCTCTCTGACCATCATCGATACTCCAGGATTTGGAGGCATCAGAGGGATAGAATATGATGACAGCATCAGTAGGAGTTTATTGTATTTGTTTCGGTCAGGAGGCATAGAAGAACTACATGGAGTGGGTCTGGTGATGAAGGCGAGTGATAATCGATTGAGTGACAGACTGATGTACATCTTGAATTCAGTCATGTCTTTGTTTGGGAAAAACATAGAAGACAACATCATAACTCTGATCACCCACTCAAAGGGAAGAACACCAAAGAATGTTCTTCAAACTCTTGAAGTTTCCACCATTAAATGTGCCAAAGATGAGAATCAGAAGCCTGTCTACTTCCTGTTTAATAACTGCCAGAGCGAAGACCGTACAGAAGAAGAAGAATACCTGGAAGCAGCCTATAAGGTAATGGAGAAAGGACTGAAAGAGTTCACTGCTTTTCTGGAAAAATCTCAGCCTCAAAAACTGAAGACAACTGTTGATGTTATCAATGAACGCATTAAACTGACAGCCTGCATCCAAAACCTGCAGCAACGATTCATTGAAGCTGAAGAAAAGCAGAACCAGATCAGACAAATCCAACATAACCTGATGAAACATAAAGAAGAGATGGAAAAGAATGAACATTTTTCTTTTGAAGTAGAAGAGTCCTACAAAGTCAAAGAACCCATCAAAACCAATGCTTCTTTTGGAAAACCTTTGTGTTGTAAACGCTGTGAGGAAAACTGTCACTATCCTGGATGCACTATGGCCCCTGCCTTATGTGAAGTCATCAAAGAAGGTCACTGCATCGTCTGCACTGGGAAGTGTCCCACATCTGATCATGTGAAAG